GAGACTGAGTTTCGCTCTTATCATCCAGGCTGGAGTACAGTGGCGTGATCTCGACTCACTTGCAACCTCTACCTCCGAGGTTTGATTCTCCTGCATCAGCCTCACAAGTAGCTGGGATTATAGGCGTGTGCCACCCCACCCAGCTAATTTTTTGTATTTTTAGTAGAGACAGATTTTACCATGTTGGCCAGGCTGGTCTCAGACTCCTGACCGCAGGTGATCTGCCCACCTTGGCCTCCCAAAGTGCTGGGATTACAGGCGTGAGAAACCACACCTAGCCAAAAGAATTTTACAGTCTAGAGGGAGAGATACATACAGAGACAAACAAATACAATTCAGCGTAAGTAAATCTATACTGGGACTGTATAAAAGGGTTGGTGGGAGTAGTACCTAACACATGACTTCCTTTGTCTCTGGGGAATGAGGGGTATCAGCTAAAGCTCCACTGAGAAGGAAACTCTTAAGCTGAAAAATGAAGGATGAGTAGGCTTTTGCTGGAACCTGGGTTGAAACAGGAAATCAACTTTGGGAAGTAGTATTATAACCTTTAAGAGATGAGCTATCTGTAGTAAAGCTTTGGCAAACGATTTGAGAATTTTTGAGGTCTTTCTCTAAGATTACTCTAGATTTTATATCCCACAGCTTGAAAATCCAGTCCCAACCCACCCCTGCACAAAGCCAGAGTTCTTGGAAGACCAGACTGGTCTGATAGATGGCAAACAAACTTCAATTCTAAAGTGAAAGTTATGTAATGCAAAGCAAAAAGCTAAGATAAATTATTACAACTGTTTACATTGTAGGTGTTGGAACTTTTTCTCTGTCACCTTACTCTGGCCTTTTAGCAGTGTCACATTATCTTACCCTGATGATACTTACATAAAGGTATATTTTACTGAATAGGTACATTTTACTGAAAGTTCATGTCTAGGAAACAGTAATTCACAATTAACTTTGTAGATTTTAATAAAAGACATTAAATAATTCCTTCCCAGAAGCCTTGGTATTTTTTCCCTAAGCATTTTCATGGGCCTATATGCTTTGAAACACATAGCCAACAAAAATCACTTTCTGTCATGTATGTGATCTAAATAAAATTCTGTTCCTTTATTTTAATAACATAATGGTATTACAGTTTTGACTCTGAAGCTGCTTTTTGTTTTGGTTATTTGAGGTCTTTGGTTTGATTTGATGCTTTTTCTTTCTGTCAGCAAATAAATCATATGTAGGAATGCTAGATGGCACTGTGAACTCTAAGGATAATAGTTTTCTTAGTTATATTAAAGTAGTATGACTAATTATTCACAACTGTAGTTTTAGTCTCCTCATAGCTCTTTTATTTATAATGCTTATAAAATCTTTGGGATTTTAAGATACAAAGAGGCGGATATATTTGGCCTGGAATTGAAAATGTTGAGACTCATTCCTAAGTATTGTTTTATGCTAGAGACCTCCTCTGGAAATTGATAACTCTGTTTGCTGGTTTGATTTTTCCAGGTCTCATTCAGTTTCGTTACAAGAGGAGTCTCATTCAAACAGTCCTGTCCTGTGTATCAACAGTCTCCTGACTGCCTTGAGACTTTCCTTCCTTTAAATACTCACCCTCCCCACTCCCTGGTTTTTTTTGTTTTTTTTTTTTTAGTATCTATAGCTTTAACATATGCTCACAATTCCGGTAAGAAAAGAAAAAAGGGATTTTGAATTTCATAATTTTTAAGAATATAATAGCTTTCCAGTAGTTTAAATTTGTATGTCTGCAATACCTAAACTCTACTTTTTAGTAGATATTAATAAAAACCGGGGTGGGTGGAATAGCATTAATCTATCTCATTTCCTTTGCCCAGGACAATATAAAATGAGAGGAGAAAGGAGCAGGCAAGCACCAAGGCGTTGAGGGTGTGAGTGAGTAGTCTAGGATGACAAGAGAAAATGTATTATGTGCCAAAGGTTTCTGAACCTTGGCATGTAGCCTTGACCTAGTGATTAGGGAGTTCAGATTCTGTTTCCTCTCCAGTGTCATAGAATTGCTGATAATGCTTGCCAGAAATAGCGTGAAACTATGTTTGAACTTCATACTAACAATATAGTTACACAAACAATTTTGTTAATAATTTGTTAAAGAAGACAAAGGTGCTACTGAAACATAAAATTCTCCTGAGGTAGTTTTAAATAATAGAATTTGAAGCTAGAGAACTAATTACAAAGCAAGATTTGAAGTTAAGTACTTTTAAACTTCTTTTCATCATGCAAAGCTCATGAAACCTATGCACACACTTATCAGGAAAATGCACATATATGCAAATTTGCACACACTTGCAGAGAGTCACAGAACTGAAGCCCGTTTATGGATCCTGCTCTAAGTCAATTTCTTCATATTTGGATAGTTTTGTTCTTTTATTTAGGTTGTGGATAGTTTAATTTGTTATAGCAAAGTCGATGTTAAATATTAATGAACTGAAGTTACAGGTTTAATTTTCTTAAGGGACATTAGACCATACTTATACTACAGACATATTAAATTTTACTATTTTGCATATGAAAGAAAATAAGGCATGTACATCCCCACAAAGGCATGCCATTGACTATAATATGATTGGATGAGATTATGTGAATTAATGAAAAACCTCAGGATGCAAAAGTAGATATATCATCATTGCGAATATGGAAAAGTTTGTCGTCATTTTCCTTTCAGATTTGTCATATTTTAAATTGTGATATCTTGGAATATAGAATTACTGTATAGGATTTTAAAAATTCAGTTTATAATTGATTTTGGGGGGAACATTTAAAAATATCCTTTTAAAATAACTATAGAACCCTCAGAAGTTCCAAAATTTTAGTATGTGGTCACTGGTTCTAATCATCCAATTGAGATAAATGGGAAATGATGAGCATTTGCTTCATGTAAAGTATGTACATTTATATGTTAATACAAATTCTAGTCATAACTGAGATGTTGTAGTTATCTTTCTGTTATTTTGGGTTCTTTGTTTTTTGTTTTTTTAGATGTATATAAATTCCAGTGTCGGTGATGATTTAGCAAAAATTAAAATTCTCTTTCAGTGGTTCTGAGTCTCAGTTGTCTTGACATTTTAAAGATTTATGTATTGTTTCAGGTCCTGAAATTTACTTTCTTTTTTTAAAAACACTTTATCCCAAAAGCTAAATTAGTGTTAAAGAGAAGTAATAACGAATATTTTATCTACTTTAATAGGCTCTTAAACAGGTGTCCATCTGAATCTGTTCAGTTGAGCTGAAAGCAGAGTGATGCTGGAAAGATGGCAGAAAGCATATTAAGAGGCAGGAGCTAGTGTATGGGGGAGATGTTAACATAAGTTTACAAAGCAGATGCTGAATAAATATTATGCCTCATGCAGTGTAATGCTCCAAATACCTGTTTATAGGTAAATTTCCTGTGAACCTGTTTTGAGAAATAAAGCCATAGACTAAAGGAGCAGACTTTAAACTATCTGTTCATTCATTTACCAAATTGTGAAAAAATTTAAAGATACCTTATTAGGAAAATAAATATTTATGCCACCATATATTTTCCTTAAAGAGACTGATTTTGAAGTCAGACACATACTGCTATTTTCACCTCTACAAAATGTGGTCATCATTATTGCAAAGTGTTGTGAAAGCAGGGTAGAAAATCATAGGCCTTTAAATAGTCTGAACAAATAAACATGATTTTTATGATGCATACAAATGCATTTGTACAGCCATGTAGTAACTGTTGCTAAGATCACAGAATAAAAGTTTAAAACCAAGAATAATAACAGTTGAATACCATACATAACACTTAATATTCCGAGGGACTAAGCAAAATATCCCTCTACGTTACATGGGATCTCCCGCTGTCTGTGTATGTCGACGCTTAATGGAAATGTTATAGGGATGCTAAGCATTGAATGGCAGCCGGATTACTTACTTAGTAGGTTGCTAAATTAGAGCCTTTACTAATATCTAAAAATGGAATATCAAGTTTTATTGACCTTTTAACAACTGATTTTGAAGTCAGACACATATTGGCTTCAAACACATACAGACACATACTTACTTACTAGTACTAATAAATAGCCCATGACCACTATTTTTAAAAGAAAGAAAAAAATCTAAGGAATTTTTAATTATTTCCTGTTAGTACCAAAGAAAGAAGGTCTTTCATTTGGATATTGCTTTCAACCCAAAATCTACCAAAAGAGTCTTTTTCTTTTCTAATTTTTCAAAACCCTAGACAACATGCCAAATGTTAAAGGTATCTTGACGATTCACTTGCAACTGTGGAGGTTAGTACAGTCCTCTAAGAATAAAGTATCAGTAGTCTTGTCATCCGTGAAATCTTTTCTACTGGACATGATTACTAATAAGCCTTGGCAGGTGGTTTTCTAAATTTGAGGTCAGGATATGAGTTCCTCAAGGCTGGGAATTACAGCGTATTCATATCTATGTTTTAGTAAGTCAGTCGATACTGTAATGGCATCAATAAGTGATTGTGTGGAATGAATCTGGGCAAGACCCTACCTAATGTACTGTCAGTCATCTGGGAACAAATCTCTGCAACCAAGTCAGTCTGGCAGTGGAAAAAGATGTGGCAGGTGCTTACGAGGCTGTGGCTACACAGGACTTTCATATCACTGAGTAGAAACCCATCCTAAGAGAAGGCAAGGAACCCACAGAAATGAAGGGAAGGAATGCAGTAGGGAAAGAAACTTTGTCCTCAAATACTTCTCTAGGCTGTAGTAATTTCTGACAGAAAATGAACTGTTTTTCATTACTAAAGATATTAGTTAAATCTCTATCTAGAGATAATGTACCTGTTTACCTGTGAAAGAAAAAAAAATAGGTGGCATATGTCTTCTAATTAAATAGATTGAATCTATATGCATTTTAAGGACAATAGTAATATATGTAATCTGACCAGCTAAATAAAGCTAACGAGAAAGTGTCATAACTAACCTGGTTGACTAGTATTTCTTTTTCTCTTGCTTGGTTGGTCTTAGGGTTTTGACCCACCACATCAGAGTGACACAAGAACCATCTATGTAGCCAACAGGTTTCCTCAGAATGGCCTTTATACACCTCAGAAATTTATAGATAACCGGATCATTTCATCAAAGGTAAGAATTAAAACTTTTATTATTAGGCTGGGTGCAGTGGCTCATACCCATATAATGCCAGCACTTTGGGAGGCCAAGGCAAGAGGATCGCTTAAGCTCGGGAGTTTGAGACCAGTCTGGGCAACATAATGAGACCTTGTCTGTACAAAAAAATTAAACAATTAGCCAGGTGTGGTGGTGCGCCTGTACTGCCAGCTACTCTGGAGGCTGGCTTCAGCCTGGGAGTTCAAGGCTGCAGTGAACCATGATCACACCACTGCACTCCAACCTGGGCGACAGAGTGAGACCAAGTCTCAAAAAAAGAAAATCATTATTAAAACTGTGGATATGGATCATTTTATTTTTAAAAGTGATTATGTGCATGTATATTTATTTATATTCTTACAAATTGAAGAAAATAGTAGTTGATTTATCTTCACCAGAATAGTTAACTGTAAAATAAAAGGAGTTGCTAATTGCTGATACCAGTAGCTAACATGCCAAAAATTGTCTTTATTTGCTAGTAAACTAAGGAACTAATATTTATGCTATGTACCAGAAACTATATTAAGTACTTCTCCTATTATTTAATACTTACAACCACCCTATGAGATAGGTTTTATGAAATCTATTTTACAAAGTGATGTTATACTGCTTTTAAATCAGTTTTCTCAGTTGAAGTGCTAGGAAATTGAATAATTTTCCCAAGGTTGCTCACTAGTAAATGGCTAGATTGGAATTTAAACTCAGTTCTGCATTGCTGTAAAGCCTGCTTCCTCCAATCTTATCAGTCATTTGTACATATTTTATGGTGCCAAAGTACAGCCTCACTCATATATTCTTCCTTATTTCATTTTTTCCTGTGGCATTTTTAAGATGTCTTAGGTTATTCTGAAGCTGAAGATTGTAGAATAGTGCTTTTCAGTAGACTTTTCTCTCATGATGGAATTGTCCAATATGATGGCCAGTAGCTATACAAAGTTATCAAGGCCTTGAAATACAGCTAGTGCAACTCAGGAACTGAAGTTTAATTTAATTTTTATTTAAATGTCAGTGTGACTAGTGGCTACCTTATTGGACGGTACAGTTATAGAGGATATGAGTCAAAGAGACTGAGGATAAAATTTTCCTTGTCTCATAATTATTGCCTGAAAAGGCACCTTAAGAAGCATCTTTCCATTGCTCCTTCCCTCCTGTCCAAAGCAGCTAACATCTTTTCTCTAATCCTGACCTTGTCTTTCCCAGGGATATTGTCTTAGGTCAGCAGTTCTTTGCCCTGCCCCATATTTCTGCCTTTACGTTCTTTATGTGTGTGACATACCCTTAGTGACGTCTCTCATTTTGCATGTTGGTTCTAAAGCAGAAAGTAGGAGGAGAAAATGTCAGAATCTAGTATAATGCATGAGCTTTAGATTAGTGACACGGTTCTGAATAAATTATGCAAGAAATAAAAGCACTTGAAAACTTTAATTTTTTTTAACTTGGGGTATAATTTACATACAGTAAAATTTATCAGTTTTAAGTGTAGAGTTTGATGAGTTTTGACAAATCTGACCACCACCATAATCAAGATGTAGACCGTATCCACTGCTCCAAAAAATTATTTTATGCCCTTTTGCAGCCAGTCCCCTTCCTCCTCACCCCCAGCACTACAACCACTGATCTGCTTTCTGTAACTATGGTTTTTTCTTTTCTAGAATTTCATATCCTACAGCACAAGTCTTTTGTGCCCGACTTCTTTTTTCCTAACATAATGCTTTTGAGGTTCATTTTTGTTCTTGCAAGTATAAGTATCTGTAGTTCATTCCTTTCTGGTGCATAGTTTCTCCATCAGCCTGGGTTTGGATAGTTAGTTTATGTTTTGAATATAAGCCATTTTCTTTGTATGGTTCTCTCATAGTCAGTATTTTCTTCCCCTTACATTTCCAGCTGCTTTTCCAGCCCTGACCTCTAGCTGTTGATGAGGCTGCAGTTTCCCCAGCTGTTTTGCTGCCATTGCTGTCTGTGGTAGTTGGATACGTCTCCAAGCTAAAAAGCCAAAAATTCACAATTTATACTTTTTTCATTTGCAGTTTTTGAAATTAAACTCTCTTCCTGTTTCTATCTATACTTTGGGACTTAGTTTTTAAAATGTAATCTTTATAATTCTTATCTGCTGGGAGTTCACAGAGCCGCTTCTCTGCCACTAGTGGAAACTGAGTGTCCTCCTGAAAAGCTTTTGGGATTAAAAAACTGTCTCTATATGACTGTCTTTGTACACAGAAGTATTCAGTTTAATGTTCTTGACCATATTTTTAAAAATGTGAATGTTTAAAGAAATACTGCCTTTTTAAATTTTTACCGTAAATGAGGACTATCTCATTACTACCTATCACTTGTCTTATGCCACTATTGCTTTCTTACACTCCTTCCAAAACAGATGCTATTCCACAAACTCATGTTGAACTTTCCTAGCGCTATGCTGTTGCTTTGATTTCATGCTGTTAACCGCAGTTTTTTAAAATTAGATTTTATGTTTTTGTAGAAGGTAGAATTCATGTCTTTGACCTTAATTTCAAGAATGTAAATGTCTATACAAATACTGTCACTTTTTTTCCTGAGCGTAAATGAAGCCTGCCTCTCGTTGTTCTCATTTTACTACCTTTTCACTCCCCTGTTATTCTCTTGGTCTCCTTCCAGACTGCATGGTTTTCTTTTTTTTTTCTTCTTTTTGAGATGGATTTTTGCTCATGTTACCCAGGGTGGAGTGCAATGGTGCGATCTTGGCTCACTGCAACCTCCACTTCCTGGGTTCAAGTGATTCTCCTGCCTCAGCCTCCCAAGTAGTGGGACTGCAGGCGTGCACCACCATGCCCAGCTAATTTTTTTGTATTTTTAATAGAGATGGGGTTTCACTATTTTGACCAGTATGGTCTCGATCTCTTGACCTCGTGATCTACCCGCCTCAGCCTCCCAAAGTGCTGGGATTATAGGTGTGAGGACTGCATGGTTTTCTGTCTCACAAAGCCATCCTGTCCCTTTGCTCATGCTGTCCTAGCTTCCTGAAAGTTTCTCCTTTGTTTGCCTTGGATTTTCAGCCTGTTGAATGTTCTTCTTTTAAAGCACATGTCAAATATGACCGTCTTCATTAAACTTTTTTCATATGCTTTATCTTTGAATACAGCTATTGATATTTTTGTTCTTAATCTCCTCTACTTAATATTAAACATCTTATTTCTGGTTCTCAATCTCCTCTACTTAATATTAAACATCTTATTTCTGTTTCTCTTATTGTGGAATACATGTTGTGGTTGCATGGTATGTCTTTAATTGGCCATAGTAACTACATTATCTTAAATTTAAACTTCCTTTGGCTGTGCACAGTAGCATACGCCTATAATCCCAGTACTGTGGGAGGCCGAGGTGGATGGATCACTTGAGGCCAGGAGTTTGAGAACAGCCTGGCGAACAAGGCGAAATGCCATCTCTACTAAAAATACAAAAAAATTAGCTGGGTATGGTGGCCAGTACCTGTAGTCCCAGCTACTTGGGAGGTTGAGACATGAGAATTGCTTGAACTCAGGAGGTGGAGGTTGCAGTGAGCCAAGGTTGCACCACTGCACTCCAGCCTGGGCAGACAGAGTGAGACTCCAGAGAACTTTAAAGCATAATAAATTATTCTCTTTCTTAGCAGTATTTTTGTAATCTTTGGTATTATGCTACTAGAGTTCACCCTCTCAATACAATAGGAAAAGCGTAGAATTTAGACTCTTTCAATCTATTAATATGTTTGTATTTCAGAAAAACTAGAAACAGTTTCTACCATTTGTGTGCTAGTTTTAACAAGAAATTTTTATTTGTTCTTAGTTGTTCCTTGTATTGAGTAGTCAAAGAAAATACCCTGAAACCAGTTACCTTACTGCCAATTTATATAGCTGTTCTCCTCAGGATTCTGGAATACAAAATATATTATCACTGTTACGTTTCAAATAGATTGCTATGAACTTAGGAGATTTCCAACTTTCCTTATAAAGTATTAGGCATTTGATTTGGTGACTCAAGAAGTTACAAGGAGATATTCCAACAACTGATTTTTAATTCCAGTTAAGATCACTGGACTTGACCCAGAATTACCATCTCGTGTGTATACATTGAACATTGACTTCCTTTGGCTCAAGGAGTATCTACCTGTCTTCTCTCTAGAGCCCTAAACATACTTCCCATCCTCAGATTCCAGAGCCACTGGTGCTGCCACTACTCAAGAAGAATATGTTTCACATATTCCAGATTCAAACTGAAAATATAATTTCACCAAAGAAAGAAAGTTTGTTAGATATTAGACTAGTCTTTCCGTATCCCTGGGTCAGATAGGCTTTTGTGGACTCTTCTGGGAACCTGACTCTATTTATAAGGTTGTTCACCCGGGAACAGTATTTCAGGTCTCAAAGAGCTGATTAAGAAGTGAACTTTTGACTGAAAATCCAAAAATTAGAGCCATGCCATCTGACTTGACACCAGAGAAAATAGGTAAAGTACCTCTTTGGAAATCTTGAATTGGTCAGTAACCATTGAGGCTTCATTGCCTGAGGTCAGGATATTATCTGAGAAAAAAAAAACCATTGTCAACCATATTTATGTATTCATTAATGTATTCTGCAAAATATTTGATCTCCACATATGTGCCAGGTAGTAGTATACGTGCTGGAGATAGAGCAGTGAATAAAATGATATCCCTGGCCTCAGGGATCTTATATTCTTCTGGGAGAATGTAAAGTAAAGGTTCTATAAACCCTTTCCCTGTTTCATATTTCAAGTTATGTTGTGAGTTGTAATACAAATAAAATTTGCAACATATTATTCTGCCCTTGTAATATAGCATTACAGGTTTTGGGGCTGAGTAATAGTAAGCACGTTTATAGCAATTAGTATGAGCCAGGGTCTATCCCAAGTGCTTCACCCGATGTTAGCTCATTTAATAGTTATAGGAACCCTATCAGATGTGATTAATATTGTCCTCATTTGTGGAGGAGCAAAGTGGGACAAAGAGAGATTAAGTCCAGGGTCATTTAGTGAGTATTACAAATTAAGATTTGGGCCACCGCAGTTTAACCCCCAAGTATCTATGCCTTTAACCATTGTAGTCTTTAACCACAGTATCAAATTGATACTGTGACAGATTTTCATATCCTTCATGAAATTTTCTTGGTGGTTATCGCAGTGATCACTTATCTAAATAAAAAAGCATTTTTATTTCTTTAACATTCTAGGTTTTTTTTCATATTTCATACTAAACAAACCACTTCCTCTGTTTCTGTTGCTAAACTAAATAAAATATAAATTGTATCTAAAATCAGCATTTCTATCAACTCATATTTATCTTTAGCATTAGGTCTAGTTTTGTGTACCAAAATTCAAAATAAGTTGTTAAAATGTTGTAGATCGGCTTTCTCCAACTTCTTAAAATAACGAGAATTTAATGGCAAAATTGTTGGGTTTCAGCCTATTACGTTTTTCAAAATGATGCTAGAATTGCTAATAAATAGTAAAAGGAAGAAAAAAGGGAAGTAGAATAAAAGTCCTGAACTCTAAAAGCCAGATCGTTTCTGTAGCATATAGACTTAACACGATTTTGTCTAAGGGATTAGTAAATCTGATTTTACTTTACTTATTAATATTATGTCTATATACTTTATATTATTTTTAAATATTAATTTACTGATCTCTCCTCTTTCTTTTTAGTATACTGTGTGGAATTTTGTTCCAAAAAATTTATTTGAACAGTTCAGAAGAGTGGCAAACTTTTATTTTCTTATTATATTTTTGGTTCAGGTAAGCTTTATTACTCAATATTGTTTGTAAACATAGTTTCTAAAAATATGTCTTGGAACAAAGAAAAATTACATTGTGTTCTTAATCATTTGACCATGTGACCATTTTTTTCTATAATGCTTCTGAATCATATTCAGTGAGTACAATGATCTGTCATATCTACTTTTCTAAAAGAAATAGCCTGTGAACTTTAAGATCAACTGTATATTGTTTCATCAATAATGTGTCATAGTACTTAGATTAACCATAATCTTAGCTAAGAACATAACCTAACATCTTTCAGATATTCTGCCTCAGAACATAAATATTTTGGTTTTTAATATATAGTGCATGTTTTTGGCATATTTCTGCCTATGGAATCATCTTCGTACAAAATAAACTTTTCTTTGGCTTTTAATTTTTTAATTTAAATTTAAGTTATTTAAAAGAATTTTAATTGTTAAGTATCCCTGTGGGTATAGTTTTTTCTTTCCAGGAGACCATTTTCTTTGCTTAAATCTGTGTTTACTATATTAGGCTGTTAGACAGTTTCTTAATTTTCACCTTGTGCTTAAAAGAATTACATATATGTATGTCTATATATAATATATATGTGTATGTGTGTGTGTGTATATATATATATATACACACACACACACACACACACTCACAAAATATATATAATCAAGAGAAAAGCCCATGAAACTTAAGTATAAATCAAGATTTTAAAATAGTGATTCCTTTTTCCTTTAAAGAAGTTATTCTTTTCTGATAAAGCTTTGCAGTTTCAGTGTAGCATTGAATGTATAAACTCTGAACTCTTCCCTCAGTAGAACTGGGATTTCAAATGAAACATTAAAACTTGTTAAATAAATATTTTAATGCTTTAGGAAACATTTGCTTTTTTTTTTTTTTTTGAGACAGAGGTTTGCTCTGGTGGGTTACCCAGGCTGGAGTGCAATGGTGCGATCTCGGCTCACCACAACCTCTGCCTCCTGGGTTCAGGCAATTCTCCTGCCTCAGCCTCCTGAGTAGCTGGGATTACAGGCACGCACCACCATGCTCAGCTAATTTTTTGTATTTTTAGTAGAGACCGGGTTTCACCATGTTGACCGGGATGGTCTCGATCTGTTGACCTCGTGATCCACCCACCTCCACCTCCCAAAGTGCTGGGATTACAGGCTTGAGCCACCGCGCCCAGCCAACATTTGCTTTTTTTAGAAAAAAAAATTGCTTTCCTTCATGAACAGAGAAGGAATTTCTGATTTTCTGCCCATAGAGCATCAGTTTGATTTTCTTGGAAAAGCAAGAAATGTATACTAACCATATCCACATAACATCCATAGATTTGTGAAATCACTAGCTAAGATGAATTCAGCTTGTCTGTGGAATAAAACAAATTTAATTGGCCTGTCCAGAGTAAAGGAACATCGTTTTCCTAGCTGTCTCCCTCTTGTTCTGTTGGATGTAGCAAAATTACTTCCATTCCTAGTTTTCTTTCCCTAGTGTTGATATCATTCTGAATCCAAGGGTAAAAATTGCTGACAGACTTTTCAGAATTTATCAAGATGTGCAAAGAAATGTGAAATGAGAACTGAGTAGCTGTAGTTCCACTCCTTGGCAAATATTGAAGAACTTAAGAACTCTGTCTTTAGCAGAGTTACTGAGTCCACTCTAGCCATATATGTGACTAGGCAGTAGATTTAAATAGTTTACCAGCTCCATACAATAGCCAACAAAGTGAAGTTGTGAAATTGTGAACTAAAGTATACATACTCACTGTGTACTATGAAATTTTAGATGATAATAGTATGATGTGCACAATATAAAAATGTAATATTCTCTGTTCTTTTTTATACATCTAGCTTATGATTGATACACCTACAAGTCCAATTACCAGTGGACTTCCATTATTCTTTGTGATAACAGTAACTGCCATAAAGCAGGTATGAAATACTTTCTTTTTTTATTTTCCTCCAGGTCATTTAGAAGTTGCTAAATGTTTCTACTGCAAAGTAACATTTATTGTTGTGAAAATAATTCCCATAAGAAAGCAGCAAATTTGATATGTAGTAAAATTAAACAGAATTAGCCACTCTGTTATATTTCAGGTACCTGGTGACTTATGGAATGATTAACATCATTAAAATAGGTTATTCCCTTGACACAGCTAGAAAGCATCCAAAAACAAGTATTATATATGTATAAACCAATTTATATATGAAACAGATTTCTTAATTATAACCATCTTTGTAGAGTTTGGTGATATTTAAAGGTAATACAATCCACAAGAGATACGTTTATAGAAACCAGGGTATATACTTCTGGTGTAAACATTTGTGAGTAAAAATTATATAGTTCAAAAATTAGGGTATGGTAGCATATACGTATGGTCTCAGCTACTTGGTGGGCTGAGGTGGGAGGAACACTTGAGCCCAGGAGGTGGAAGCTGCAGTGAGCATGTTTATGCCACTGCACCTCCCACCTGGTTGACAGAGTGAGACCCTGTCTCAAAAAAAAAAAAAAAAAGCATAGCTTTTCTACTGTTTATAACTCTCTTGTGAGGTTGTGTTTTATGTATTTTCCCACAGGAGAAATAGCTTCAGTCAGAGCATGAATTGACATTAAAATCTAGGTATAGAGAATAGAGTTGTTAGATAAACACAGAATAAGAAATGAAGAAATTTATGGAAATGTCCTGTTGTTACAGCTATTACTTCTCAAAAGATCTTGGCAGGGTTTCACTTAAACAGAGATGATTCCTTCCACTTGCAGGAGAGTTAATTGAATTTTCTCAGGTAAACATGATACATTTTTCTAAGATGTAGGGATAAGGCATACATTGACATGGAAATAAAATTGACACACATTTTACAATTCTGGGATGAATATTTGTTATTGCTTACATATGATAGAGCCTATAGATTAACAATTAAATTATGCATCTACATGTCAGATAGGTCACAGCTCTCACTAAGTTTGATTTTACCTTCTTCACTCTTCTATTGGAGATTAGAATGCATATATACTGGTTGATAAGCATTTAAATTACTCTATATAATTATTTACTTGATGCATATTTACTTTGATGAGATAAATGACAAATAGATATCATTTATTTCAACAAAGTAACATGTTCGTTCTTCGGACCTCTTTTCTCTATCTATATACTTTCACCTTAGGTGATTTCATCCCATCCAGCTGATTGAAGTTACCATCTCTGTGATGATGGTTCCCACATTTACGTTTATCCTGAAACTATTCTTTGAACTCCAAACACACATGTACAACCATTTGTACAACATTTCTACTTTGCCATCTCCCAAGAATCTTAAACATAATTCTTAATTTTTTTCCCCCTGTAAACCTGTACTACCAGTTCTTATTATTCTGCAGTTTATTAAATGGTACTGCCATCCAACCACCACAAACCTTGACAGCATCATCCTTTGACGGTTCTGTTTATCCCTACCTTCAAGATCTACCTAATTAGTACAAGCCCCCATCAGCTTTTGTCTGGACAATTGCATTCTTTTCCGAAGAGTTCTTGCTTCACTCTTACTCTCCCATGGTTTTCACACAGCAGCCAGATTGATCTCTTAAAATCGGATCACGCTACCCTCCCACTTAAAACTGTTCAGAAGCTTTCCATCACACTTTGACCAAACCATATCTTTTCAGTGATCTACAAAGACAAAAATATACAGAGTCTGGTTCCTGGTTCCTTCTTCTGCTTCATTTCCTACCTTTTCTTTTCCTCACTGTGCTGCAGCGGTACTCCTCTACTTGTCCTCAAACACAGTAAGCATGCTTCTTTCTCAAGAGTTTATGGCTTGTACTTTCTTCTTGAAAAGTTCTTTCACCAGATAATTGCATTCTCAATTCATTTTACTCTGTACTTAAACTTTGGCTTTTCCTGGCCACCATGCCACTCTTATTTCTTGCTGTGGCCGTTTTTTCCTTCATATCATTTATTCTTTTGTTCTATTGATAAATGTTTGTGTTTTAGTTTTTCTGTCACTTTCATTTGAATGTCTAGCTCTATGATGCCAGATAATTTATTGTATATACCTGCTTATTTCCATTTACCAGAAAAAGACCATGCACATACTGGGCCTTCAGTAGTTGTTTAACAGATGAATAAATGAACTTATTGGATATTGTTAAAGCAATGTAAAATATTGCAATACGTGTTACCTTTATTTCCCAATGTATATTTGGCCAAATATGGACTGCATTCAGTTGGAATGCAGCTCATTAACTGAGTTGAAAAAGATGTTGGTGAATTTTTATCTGCAAAATAAGAGTTTAATCATCATAATTGACAATCAGTCTCCTTCCAAAATTGGTTTAAGTAAAAGTGAATAAAATTTAAAGGCAGAAAGCAAAAGGTTATGCCTAGAACCTGTGTTAATATGGTTATTAAATATGAATACTAAATTTATGGCCGGGTGGCGGCTCATGCCTATAATCCCAGCACTTTGGGAGGCCAAGGCGGGTGGATCACGAGGTCAAGAGATCAAGACCATCCTGGTCAACATGGTGAAACCCTGTCTCTACTAAAAATACAAAAAATTAGCTGGGCGTGGTGGCGCGTGCCTGTAATCCCAGCTACTCAGGAGGCTGAGGCAGGAGAATTGCCTGATCCCAGGAGGCGGAGGTTGCGGTGAGCTGAGATCGCACCATTGCACTCCAGCCTGGGTAACAAGAGCGAAACTCCATCTCAAAAAAAAAAGTTTATATGAGAGCTTCATAAGTAAGGCAATGGGGGAAATAGGAAAGGCCATTATAATTTTTGAAGAGAAAATTTGATCCACGAAGATTTTCTCCTTAACTCAAAACAAAATTTTTGGACTCAGAATTTTCTCTTTTGCAACAACTATTTCTAACTTTTTCTAACTTAATAAACACACAGAATACTTCCATATATTGTTCAGGTTTATGTATCTATTTATTACTATAGATCAGTAAAACAAATTTGGAAGCATTGTAAAAGTGAAAGTTTCCAGGTTCCAACCTTTCTTTCTTGTGTTCTCCCCTTTTAGTCTGCCCTTTTCCTTTGTACTTTTGTCAAAATAGGAAAAGACTCCATTGTCAACTCCTTACACTTTAATATGAATGAGGTTGTCAGTTGTTTCCTTGTTTTTTAGCTTCCCTCAACTAATATATTAAGTCTTCTCTCCAATTGTGTAATGCAAGATATACTGCTCTAGGAAATAAGATAGTCTGTCCTCCATGATTCTAAAACTTGTGAAATAGGAAGGTAAGACCAAATATAAAAATAATTATGATTCAACAGAGTAGTAGTAAAATCCAGTGAGCTGTAGCTGTTCAGAGGAGGAATGAAACACTTCATCTTTATCTGGATGACCAGAGATGGTTTTGTGGAAATAAATAATATTTATTTATTTGTGGAAAAAATACTATTTTTACATAAATTTTATTTATTTATTTATTATTTTGAGATGGAGTCTCACTCTGTCGCCCAGGCTTTAGTGCAGTGGCATGATCTTGGCTCAATGCAGTCTCTGCCTCCTGGGTTCAAGCAGTTCTCCTGCCTCAGTCTCCTGAGTGGCTGAGATTACAGGCGCATGCCACTATGCCTGGCTAATGTTTTTGTATTTTTAGTAGAGACAGGGTTTCACCATTTTGGTCAGGCTGGTCTCGATTTCCTGACCTTGTGATCTGCCCGCCTCAGCCTCCCAAAGTGGGATTACAGGAGTGAGCCACCGCACCTGGCCTATTTTTACATAAATTTAAGAATTTATTCATGGTAAGGGTCATATTTCATATCACTGGGGAAAATACTGATTGAACAATAATTGTGAATATTTAGAAAAAATTGTTGGATTCAGACTTCATACCATATAGCAAAATAAAACTCATTTGGATTACTAAACTGAATATACATAACTACAGAAGTAATAGAAGTAAATACAGATGAAATTTTATCTCATTTTCTATATGGGAGTTAATCTGATAGAAGCAAGGAAAGAAATATAGGAAAAACAAAATCTGAGTGTTTAAAAAGGAAGTCTGAATAATATTAAAGACAAAAAGGAATCTGAAAAATTTGTGTTATGTATGACAAAGGGCCTATGTCCTTAATTTTATTATTATTATTATTATTATTTGAAACAGAGTCTCATTCTGTTGTCCAGGCTGAAGAGCAGTAGTGTCATCACAGCTTATTTTAACCTTGACCTCCCAGACTCAGGTGATCTTTCCACCTCAGTCTCCCAAATAGCTGGGACTGCAGATGTGTGCCACCATACTCAGCTAATTGTTGTATTTTTTTTTTTTGTAGAGACGGGTTTGCCCATTCTGGTCTCTAGCTCCTGGGCTCAAACTATCCTCTTGCCTCCCAAAGTGCTGTAATTACCAGCTTGAGTAATTCCCACACCCAGCTGATCCTAGTTTTAAAAGATATTTTACCAAGAGGACATACCTTTCTCTTCACCATAAATAAGTGAAAAGGGCATGGATCATCTCCAAGAAGAGATATGCAGATTGCTAATAAATAGATGAGGAAATACTACGATGATGATTCTTGGAGTATGGGTGAAATGACAATTGATGAAGAAGATGAAGTAGAGATGAACAACTTGGGCAAAAAAAGCCCAAATGCAAGACAAGGGAAGACCTCTTTTGGGGAATTATAAATCTAACTTGTTTGACCCTGTTTAAGAAAGTACTACAGGATAATAGAAGTGTAGGTTGGTTCTAAGTTAAGGAAGCCAGAAGATGCTTTGCTGTAAGCACTGAGAATCACTGAAGGGGTTGTGAGCAGTATAGTGAATCAAGACAATGCTTTGGGAAGATTAATCTGGCAGTAATATATAGGATGAATTAGAATTTGTGAGCTTGCATAAAAAAAGACAATGTTTGAATTATCATTGCTCTGCTGTTCGTGTCATCTGACTGTAAAGGAAAGTGTGCTTTTGACAGTTTGAGAAAAAAATATTTTGACTCAATTAAATTTCTCTGAAACGACATACTGCAACTTAAATGAGGCCAACATAGTTTAGGTGTTTTAAGAGTGCTTTCCCACGAGGTTTCCACCTAAAAACAGCATAGCTTCAAAATAGTCTCTCATGTTTTTTCTTTTATAGTTTCTTAATATTTAAAAAATAATAGATGCACATTTTTTAAGGGAAACAGCACAAAATAGCATATAGTAAGTCTTACACTCCTAACATCCAGTCTCTTAGTTCTTCTACCCAGGGAGCAATTATTTGTAAGTTAGTCCAGATATCTATGCAAAGTGTTCACACAGGCAGGCATATTTTTTCACAAATGGTGGCATAGAACAAAACCTATTCTGTACCTTATCTTTTTATTCATTTATTACTCTTGCTTAGATATCGTTCCATTAGCTGTACTATGTGTATCTTGAGTTCTTGAATTTTCTTAAAATGTCACAGAAAGTCTTTTCCACTTAAAGAAGATTACCATTCCTGAATATTTAATCAAAAGATCCTTTGTGAAATGCTTGTTTCCCTTCCTAATGATGATCCATACAGGCTAACATATTTTTGTTGAGTACATTTGGCCCTTGAACAATGCAGGGGTTAAGGGAACTGATCCCTTGTGCAATTGAAAATTCATGCACAACTTTTGACTCTCCCAAAACTTAACTACTGATAGTCCACTGTTCATCAGAAGGCTACTAATATCATAAAACAGTCGTTTAACACATATTTTGTATGTTACATGTATTAGGTACTGTATTCTTAAAGTCAACTAAAGAACATGTTATTAAGAGGATCATAAGGAACACAAAATATATTTACTATTCTGAAGTGGAAATAGATTGTCTTAAGGGTCTTCATCCTGTCTTTGCATTGGGTAGACTGAGGAGGAAGAGAAGAGGTTGGTGTCGCTATCTCAGGGACACAAGAGGTAGAGGAGATCGATAGGGGGGAAGGAGATTTAGGCACACTCAGTATAACTTTAAGGGAAAACAATCCATGTATGAGTGGACCTGTGCAGTTCAAACCTGTGTTATTCAAGGGTCAACTGTACTAATTATAATTTTGGCAGTCTATTAAGAAAGTAAAAGAACACAATCTCAGTTTCAACATCTGCTCATTTTTTCCTGCTTATTGTTTGTAATGCTCTGTGAATTTATACTTTATGATGAAAATATCATTTGTACATAGAAACAATAAAATGTAGTGACTGAATAGGTGTTGGAAAAGAGTAGAAGTCGAGAATAACTCCCCAAGTTTCTGGCAAGAACAGCTTGGTAGAAGGTGATGTCATCTGTCAAGATGGGAACTGGAAATGTGGCACACTTTCAGGACATCATCGGTTTCATTCTGAACATGTTTAAGGCATTTATGAATCGTCAAAATTGAGGTATTAAGAAAGCAATTAGATATTCAAGTTTGGAGTCCAAAAGAGATATATGGCTGGAGATACACATTTCAGAATTACCAGCATATTTGCACTATTTGAAGACACAGGGATAGAAGGAATCTCCTAGCGAGAAAAAGAAATGTGAGAAAAGGCTACATAGGTGACATAGAAGGACCCTCCATAAGGAAATTGAGAAGAAATAACTGAGGTCCTGTGAAAGCCAGGAAGATGTATGTAACAAAAAAGAAGCAAGTGTTTCCAGTAGGAACAGATGTCAAATGCCTGTGAGCATATGCATCAAAGTGGCGTAAAGTGATTCTGGAATACAGTGTTTTAGGGACGTTTTTGAGTTTTTTTCTTATTTAAGAAATGTATCTTCAAATTATACTGAAAAAATATTTTTTAACCCTTTGGATATTTACAGGGATATGAAGATTGGTTACGGCATAACTCAGATAATGAAGTAAATGGAGCTCCTGTTTATGTTGTTCGAAGTGGTGGCCTTGTAAAAACTAGATCCAAAAACATTCGGGTATGCATCTGGTAAATAATGGAAATAATTTTATCTTCATATCACAGGACATAATTCTAATCTAGATATTATGTTTTAGTTAAAAGCCTACTTTCCTACGCTAAAATACCATGGGAGGCTACTTATTTAGAGCCCAACAAAAGTAAGTCCTTGCCTTTTAAAATCTGTAAATTCACTCTTCCCCAAAATTCTTTATAGGTGGGTGATATTGTTCGAATAGCCAAAGATGAAATTTTTCCTGCAGACTTGGTGCTTTTGTCCTCAGATCGACTTGATGGTTCCTGCCATGTTACAACTGCTAGTTTGGATGGAGAAACTAATCTGAAGGTTTGTTCACGTATGTTTGAGTATTGCTGTTGGAACAAAATGTCTTTGGAGTGTAATGATACTTTCCTTTGGTTAAAGTAATAAAGTTTGACCTGATTAAGGAGAAGATTTTAAAACTACCGACTATTCCAAAATTTAAAAGGTTTTAAAAAAGAATTGATGTTATATCTTTATTTTAAGGGTAGCCTCACATGGGTTTAATCCAAGTTAAAAACAGAAAGTGTTTTTAGAAAAAATATAATCTTTTACTATTTATGTTACTTTTAAAAGATGACGAACAGATTTATATATTCTGTTTTCAGAGTATAATCAAAGGTGAAAATTCACAATTTAAACTTTGAGTATTAGTGACTGTGCACACAGACTTAATTTCCTTATATGCAAATGGCCTCTGTAGACAGGTAATCATAGTAGCTTCCTTTGCTCCTTGTTTATTTTACATTTTTCTTTCTCTTCTCTTGTCTAGATGAGTGATCTCAAGTATAGCATGCCATGACTTCACTGATAAAAGAGATGTGAAATAACTGATATCGAAGGTCCCATTTGGATCTTAAAACTACAATTTAATTCATTTTTTTCAGACACATGTGGCAGTTCCAGAAACAGCATTATTACAAACAGTTGCCAATTTGGACACTCTAGTAGCTGTAATAGAATGCCAGCAACCAGAAGCGGACTTATACAGGTATGTGTGATATTCAGTATACTCATTTTAAGTCCTATTTACAGACCTCATTTTTAAATAACCAGAAACATAAAATGAAATCTTTAGCTAATTGGAGACAGTATTTGTGGGGTGGGTTGGTGGGGGATACAATTAATACAGTGAAACAAACGAGGAGTGGAAATTGTTAGAATTCTAAGCAAAAGATAATAATTCAAAGGCAGTGTTTTTATTCACAAGTTTCTTGACATTACCTTCTATTTAAGAACTAGCATGCTCACTTTGTAGCTCTAACAGTAGTTACGGTAGACATAAGATTATTTTCTCAGAAGAAAATAATGATTTTTTTGGTAAGCTCCATAAAGCCAGGGATTATGTCTTTGTTTTTACTGCTATATTATTTAGAGGATACTACTTTTAAATTAAAATCTTATAAAGTTTTCAATATTTTACTTACATGTAGTACATAATACAGTAAAAAAATAATTTTATATAAATATTTAACAGCTATGAATTTCTCAAAGACAGAAACTCATTCATCTTATCTACCACAGTGAACACAAAATAAAATATGTATTTTTCTAGTTTGTTAGATTTTAAAGATCTTGTTTCTGAAAGGAGAGACAGGAACTTGTTTTAACATTATGGTTTACTAAATACAGTGTTGTATACCTTCAGTGATCATCTTCAGTAATCCTGCCAATTATATGTGGGCTGTGGAATGGAAACAACTTTTTATTATTAAAAAATCAAATGACAAACTATGTTTATTTTTACTCAATGAATGTTGAATAACCTATAAATTATGCCACTTTGTAAAAATCACCCTCAGTTTCTTGTCATTTTGTATATCTCCTCCTGTTGGTTGAAATGTTTCAAAGTCTTTAGCCATTGGCTTTTCTAAACCTCTTATATATCTGGTTTTTTTTGGATCCATCTTTATAATGGAGGTTTTCTCTATGTGGTATTATAAAAATTGTACACTTTCATCTACACTACAGATACAGTGTAGAATTTTCCAATTAACTAAAAACTTTGGAATCATGTGCTTTAAAATCACTTGCTAGACCGTAAGACATTTTTAACTGTGAAGAATTAAGTATTTTAAGATTTCTATATTGCTGTTATATCTTGGTCTGAGGCAATGTCAAATTATAAAAAAAATTATTAAAAACCAGAAAATGGACAACTAAGCAAGCATAAGATTAATATGAGATGAAGTGTAACTAATGCTTTAGTGTATGGTTTTTACATTATCTTGGAATATGGGGAGAAAGTTTGAAAAACTTTAAACAATTTTTCTTATCAGAAGTGTATGTTTTGTTTTTGTTTTAAATATAAGTAAAACATAATTATTGCAACAGTCTTTTGTAATAGAAAACTCAATTATATCACTACTTAAAATTTTGAATGCCGTTTTTATTCATTTAACAAATTATTGTTCAACATCTATGTGCTCATTGTGTTAGGTGATAAGATGAATAAGAATAGTTTCCCTCTTTGAGGAACTCATGGGAATTAAAGACAATATTTGTATAAAATTATATCTTTCATTTATGTGCTTATAACATATGTGCTATATATTTATTCACATATATTGCATGTGAAATATTGCAAATATTTTAAATGTCCAAGTAGGACATTTAATATGTAGATATTTAAAATCTTTTTAAAGAATTGAATGATATAGGTACATACTGAAATATAATGTTAAATGAAATAAGATACAAAGTTGGGGCTCTCATATGATCCCAGTTATGTAAAAATAAATGTGTGTGCAATAGGACAGACATGGAATCAACCTGTGGCAGACTGGATAAAGAAAATGCAGTACATATACACCATAGAATACTATGCAGCCGTGAAAAAGAACAAGATCACGTCTTTTGCAGGCACATGGATAAAGCTGGAAGCCATTATCCTTAGCAAACTGATGTGTGAGCAGAAAACCAAATACCGCATGCCCTCACTTATAAGTGGGAGCTAACTGCTGAGAACACAGGGACACAAAGGAACAATACATACTGGAGTCTACTTGAGGGTAGAGGGTGGGAGGAGGGAGAGGAGAGCAGAAAAAATAACTATTGGGTACTAGTCTGAGCATCTGGGTGACAAAATAATCTGTACAACAAACCCCCATGACCAAGTTTACCTATATAACCTAGTTATGTACCCCTGGACCTAAAAGTTTAAAAATAAATAAATAAATGTGTGTGTATGTGTACTAAATAGATAGGTAGTTAGGTAACAAGATAGAATAATTGATAACTGCAGAAAGAAAAACCTGGAGGAATTGTAGATCAAAATTTTGTAATATTCTTGTGGTAGGATTTCCACCTATTTTTAATCATTTTTTTCTTTTCCATATTTTTAAATATTTCTGTATTTTATTTATTTATTTTTGAAATGGAGTCTCACTCTCTTGCCCAGGCTGAAATGCAGTAGCATGATCTCAGCTCACTGCAATCCCTGCCTCCCCAGCTCAAGAGATTCTCCTGCCTCAGCCTCCCAAATAGCTGGGATTACAGGTGTGAGCCAACACGCCCAGTTAATTTTTTTACATTTTTAGTAGAGACAGGGTTTCACTATGTTGGCCAAGCTGTTCTCGAATTCCTGACCTCAAATGATCCACCCACCTTAGCCTCCCAAAGTGCTGGGATGACAGGTGTGAGCCACCACACTCAGCCTAATATTTATTTAAAGAATGTGGATTGGCTTTGTGATTTTAAAAAGTATTTTTCATTGTTCTGAACAGTATTCTTGACCTGTTTTAAAATATTGCAGGAAGCCGAATTAATGATCATTTTAAATGGCCATGAATAGTTTAAGTGGGTATACGAGAACCTAATAATTCGCCAACATTTCCATTCTTGGCTCCTTTCATTGTTTCACTGTCACAAATATTTTATGGTACCTTATTACAAATAAATTCACCAGTTCAAAATCTGGTGGTTGATAGTTCATTGCTTTCTCCTCTTTGATACAGTTTGCTACCTTGTCTTCCAGGCCACTTCCCTCTCTTGGTTTACCTCCTAACTCCCTATTCTGGCTGTCTCAGTCTCCTTTGCTAATTTTTCTCTTCTCCCAGCCTTCTTCCTGTTAGAGTACCCAGTACTTGCGCTGTTCCCTTCTTCACCTGTACCTTTCACTATCTACCTTCACTCCCTTGGTGATCTCACCCAACCTGCTGGCTTTAAAGACTATCTACATGCAGCTGACTGTCAGGTTTATTTCTCTATCCCAGACTTCTTTCCCTAACTTCCAGCTGCCTGTTCCATAGTTCCACCGTAGAAATCTCAAATTAATGAAGCTGAAAACTAAACTGCTAATCTTCCTTTCAAAACCTTTTCAGCCAGCAGTCTTTCTCATCTCAGTTGACACAGTCCATCCTTCCATTGCTCAGTCGGCCAGAAATCTTGCAGTCGGCCATGACTCCTCACATCTCCTCTCCCTTTGCCTTTCTTCACCTCCTTACTCACATCTCACCCCAACTCATCAGAACATTCTGAAGGCTTACCTTCAAAATACATCCAGAATCTCACCATCTTTCTCTAGTTTTATGTGAGCCAGTACCACCTTCTACCTGGATAACTGTTGTCTTACGTCTGTTTCACAAAAGCAGTCATAGTGTTCCTTTTTAAATGTAAGTCAGATCATGTCACTCTTCTTCTCAAATTTTGTCCTGGCTTACTATGTCACTCAGAGTCGGAGCCCATATCTCTATAACCATTTATAAGATCTGTTCCCATCCCCCATCTCCCACCTCTCTTCTCTGCCCTGATTCCTGCCCTTCCCTCTCTAGCTCATCCTCCAGGTACACTGAACATACCATATCTGCTCCCACCTTTTCACTAGACCTAGCCTTTGTCTAACTCTTTAACACCTTCAAGTCTGCTTAAATCACCTCCTCAGTGAGGCCTACCTTAACTACTTAGTACTGTACCTTGATCTGTTCTGCTTTTCAGTTTTCATAATATATAATACTTTCTAGTATACTATGTGATTTTTTTTTTTATGTTCATTGCTTACCATCTCTCTCACTAGAATGTAAACTCAAGGGCAGGCATCTTTGTGTGTTTTGTTCACTGATGGATCCTCAGCACCTAAAACAGTATCTAGTTGTTTTGCAGGACTTATTGTGTATTTGTTGACAGTTGATAGAGTAAACATCTTTGCATACCTAACTTTATGTGCTTAAAATTTTCCTTTTATTGAATTACAGGTTGAATACCCCTAATTCAAAAATTCAAAATCCAAAACACTCCAGATCCTTGCCATTTTGAAAACATTTTTTATTCATTACGTCATTCATAACTGGAGTAGAGGTAGCAAGAACTAAATGTTTTAAAGCTTAAGGACTGATAAGTATTTTTAAAAATAATTTATAGCAAGAATATTGGGCCATTCATATATATACATGATTGATTTTTGTTTCATATATAAGAATAGTGCAAAAACTCTAAAATGGTCCACCCATTGATGTCCTAAGTGATATTATATATTTTTGTAATACGGTGAATTCTTTGATAGATTCATGGGACGAATGATCATAACCCAGCAAATGGAAGAAATTGTAAGGTAAGAATTAATTTGTGTTATCTAATTACCTTTAAATGGGAACTGTTTGGGGGAGGGACTGAAAGTTCCAAAGGGAGATTATGTAAATAAGCAGCCCACTATCAGAAAGGATTAATTTTGTTGTGTTTTGTTTACATTTAGTGGTTTATTATATCACTTCAGAATCATTCAGTGAAAGCTAGAGTGTTTAGTTGGTTAATCCAGAACTGCTTACTTACTCTTCTGATTGGTTTATCATACCCTTTATAATAAACCACTAAATGTAAGCAAAGCATACAGACGAAGAGATGCTCAGGGCCAGGTACTGGGGAGGGGTTGTGGAGCTTCTCCCTGGGCGTGCCACTCTCCAGAAACCTCCAGAAGCCCTCACATCTCATTTCTCTTGCTTTTTTATGGAAAAAAGACATCAGCTTTCTTTACACCTGAGTATAGGGCAGGAAGGACCCTCATTAGGGAAGGCCTTATGACCCACAATTTAGAAAGGTGGCCCACAATTTAGAAAGGTGGAGAAAAAGGAGAGTCCTACCTTGGGGTGAAAGGAGAACAGGAGAAGGTCAGAGGCCTGCCCCTGAGGCCTAACATACCCAACATTATAACAAAAGACTGTAACAAGGGCTATGGGAGTTATAAGCCAGGGACCATGGATGAAAACTAATGTATATCTCATAATACCACTGGCCATCTCCTAGTTTTCAAACACAGATCCCTTACATCAAAAGAATACACAGTTCAGAAGACACAGCCACATTACCAGAATCCCATTCCGTCAATAATTAGTCCAGTCCATCACAGTGCATGAGTGTGTCCCAGAGTAAGGTCACTCAGGTTTGCAGGCTGCTTACCACTTTTCTCAGATTCCAAAAGCAGCGGTAGTCTCTGCAAATAGCTTCACTCTTTTAGGCATCTGGTGTTTATTATTGAGCTAAGAAACAATGTCATCTCTTGCTCTGAGCCTCTTTCAAGGTGTTAATGTAATGTTGGATTTCCCTCAGTTTGCAACTCATTTATTCATTCATTTACCCTCAGCTATTATTTCTCCTTATCTCCATTATACTCAAACTGTTTCAGGAAAGGGTTAATTTAAAAGCACTTAGCATTTCATCTGCTAGTAATTTGTAGCAGCAGCAAGTGAGGATAAAACACGTCCCATAAAATAATACCAAAATAATTTAGTGAGATTGTGTTTTTGTATTTCTTTTTCTAATAATACTAGGTAGTAACATTAAAAGGAAACATAACTGCTTTTATTCAGCTCTTTATGCATTTAAACCCACAATGCTTAGTAAATCTAGAATGTGAAAATGTTTTATACAATGTTTAATAAGTATAAATGCTGTGTTCTTCTTTACTTCAGAATCATTGAGTGCAGACTGGAGTGTTTAGTGGTCAGTCCAGAACCGCTTAACTTACTTATTTTATTATTATTTTTTGCTTGGTTGGTTGTTTCAGATTATTTTCTCTCAATGTTTGGGTTAATTTCTGGCTCCTAAATGAAATACTTTGTGTCAGTTCAAAGATAATGCTGATGGGATATGATTACATTATTTACTCATGAGCATAAGCCTAATTTATCGTCAATCTTCGAATCAGCTCTTCAGTTTCTAATCGTATTTGACATTCTGCCTCTTTTCTGGGGACATGTTCAGTTTATACTGGCTGCATGAAATAAGTTACTAACAGAACTGAGCATTTTTTTAATGAAATACTCAAGACAAACTAGCAAAAATACGATACATTCACATTGATTTGCATTTTTAATAAGCATTAACATAAGAGTATATTCAGTAAACTCTGTAGCAAGATCTTCGTATGCATAGGATCCCTGCTGAATAACTATGACTAGGTTTATTTTGATTTTTATAGGGAAATAGTGGGAAATAGGACACATATTCTGAGTTGCATTAATATATGAAGGAAAATAGTAGTTATATTACTTCAGCGCCTAGAATGGTTAAAAAAATGATCCATGTTCTCTACTGAAACAACCTGACTGAACTGATGAATTATCTTTTAATCTGAAGTTGTCATTACCTCCAAATTTTATCTGCCAATGTGAGCTAAAAATATTTCTGTTTATTGTTAGAAGCAACACTGAGTGAAAAAATAGCTATTTTGTAGCTCCTAAAATAAGTTTCACATTGATTTTGGAATATCCATTGAGTGCACGCCAAATATGACTGTATTGGTTCTCCTTGCTTCATTGCATTTGTTCATTCCAGTGTTCAGGTTTGCAGGTATCTTCATAAATGGTTCAGATTATGTTTGGTTTGGATAACTGTGTATGGATATTTCAGAAAAGTATAAGGAATAGCAACAAAATAATGGCTTTTTAACTTATCCATAGAAGATTCTTATTTTGCTGTTACTAAGAAGATCGATTTCCTTTCTAGTTATTACTTGTCATTTTATATCTCCTTTATGGAGAGAAATTCAAACAGCAAGAAGACCTGTGCTTCAAGAAGTATACAATGCAAGTAGTCAAGTTGTACTGTGCAGTCTTGCCTGGAGAAAGCACTAACATACCTTCTATGCTGTATTTTATAATTCAGTATAATTTTAATTGTGAACTCATACATTTATATGCAAATCAATTTATGTTTACATTGTTTTAATTATTTTCCCTTTCAAAGCTGTTTATTAATTTTGCTTTAAAATTTTATCTTCTGCCACACATTTTAAAATCACTGCTTGCTCTTTGATTTTGCTGAACTTTATGTTTAAAAATTTTGAAACTAGTGGCTTTGTGATTATATTTACATGCATAATTATTTTTCTGAGCCACTAATCTTAGAGCAACTGAAATACTAAAACAGGTGTTTGTTGTTACAGTAACTAACATGATTGGCCTAGGCGGCTTTTTTTTTTTTGTAGAGACAGGAGTCTCATTCTGTCTCCCAGGCTGGAGTGCAGTGGGTGGCACAATTTGAGCTCACTTCTGCCTCTGCCTCCCAGATTCAAGGAATTCTCCTGCCTCAGCCTCCCAAGTACCTGGGACTACAGGCGCACACTGCCATACGTGGCTAATTTCCTTTGTATTTTAGTAGAGGTGGGGTTTCACTGTGTTGCCCAGGCTGGTCTCAAACTCCTGAGCTCAGGCAATCTGCCCACCTTGGCCTCCCAAAGTACTAGGATTATAGGCTGAGCTACCATGCCTGGCCTCTAGGCATCTTTGTAGTAGCTAGGATTTTGGTGTAATATGAAAGCAGTGTTGTAGCTATAGCTTAAGTACTTTCTGCTGAAGACGCCATTTTAGAATCGAATGGAAATTTTAATGTATTCAGTGCTTTATGGTTATTTTCTTTTTTTTTTTCCTAGACCTCTGGGGCCAGAGAGTCTCCTGCTTCGTGGAGCCAGATTAAAAAACACAAAAGAAATTTTTGGTTTGTGCATATTTAAACATTTAAAATGATTGATTTGTGTTAATGCTTTATATGAAGTACTTTTAAAATACAACTTTGTGGTCTTTTGGTTACTTTATTAATAATTGTCATTTACGATGATTTTCTTATAAAGTTTCTATTAATGTAGTCTTGCATATTTTTGTGTTGTTGATGATTCCTGTTTTTTAATAGTAGGCTAGAACCTTGCTCTTACCTTTATGGATAGTTGTGAAACTGAGTGCAGATAGTTTATATAACACTTCTAGTAATAGTGGTGATACCCAGTATAATCTGGCATCATGGTACGGTAAACCACTTCTATAATTCCATTATGATTATTAGATTGGATTAATAACTGTGGATTCATTCATCTATTCATTCAACAAATTTTTACTGATACCTGAATATATACCAGGTGCTATTGGAACATACACTGACTACATCAGGATGAATAAGTATTGCTCTTGCCTTGGAGATCTAAATTAATATAGTACACTGTCAGTCAACTATACGCAAATTGTGAAGTTAATGATAACCTTTAGCTGTTACCTAGCTCCTCCCATTTCAGGGATGGCCCTTAGTATCCTGCCTGCTGTGTTACCCACTGGTTGGCTGTAGCTTTTGAGATCTTCTTTCACATTTGCTGTTTTTCTTTTACCTGTACTATATCTTGTCTATCAGTGTTAAAAAAAGAAGCCCATATATTGAAAAAAAAAAAACAGGTGTTGGTGAGGAAGTGGAGAAATTGGAACCCTTGTACGTTGCTGACGGGAATATAAAACGTTGCAGCTGCCTTGAAAATTAGTTTTGGCAGTTCTTCAAAAAGTTAAACATAGAACTGTATGACTCAGTGATCCCACTCTACATATATATATATATATATACCCAAAGTAACCGAAAATGAGTGTTCAAACAAAAACTTGTACAATAATGTTCATAGCAACACTATTCATGCTGGCCAAAGGTTGGAAACAGCCCAGTGTTCATCAGTTAGTGAATAAATAAACAAAATATGGTATATCCATAGAATGGAATATTATTCCAAAAAGGAATGAAGTATTAATGCATACTATAATATGGATGAACCTTGAAAGTATTGTGTTGAGTGGAAGAAGCCAGACACAAAAGGCTACATGTTGTATGATTCTATCTTATGAAATACCCAGAATAAGCAAATTCATAAAGACAGAAAACAGATTAGTAGTTTCCAGGGGCTGGGAAGTAAAGAAGAATGGTGAATGTTTGCTTAATGGGCACAGGGTTTTCTTTGCAGGTGATGAAAATATTATCTAGTTAGATAATATGGATAGTTGCACAAAATGCACTAACTGCCACTGAATTGTACACTTCAAAATGGTAAATATGTATATTTTACCACAATTAAAAAAAAAAAGAAATTCATAAAATGTTCTAATACCAGAAACCAGAGTAAACCTTCAGGGTTTTTAGATCCTCTAATATAACACTGTACTTTAACACATTTTTTTTTTTTTTTTTGAGACAAAGTCTCACTCTGTCACCCAGGCTGGAGGACAATGGTGCGATCTCCATTCACTGCAATCTCTGCCTCCCAGGTTCAAGCAATTCTTTTGCCTCAGCCTCCCAAGTAACTAGGATTACAGGCGTGTGCCACCATGCCTGGCTAATTTTTGTATTTTTAGTAGACACGGGGTTTCATGATGTTGGCCAGGCTGGTCTCGAACTCCTGACCTCAAGTAATCCGCCCGCCTCAGCCTCCCAAAGTAGTGGGATTGCAGCATGAGCCACCGCGCCTGGCCAACAGATCTTTCTAGTAACTTCATCACTCCTGTTTACTTTATACCGTAATGAATGGGGTCCACATTTTGTATACTCTTAAAAGAAGATGTGTATTTGAATGCCTTTAGATGGGTCTGCCTTGCCTCAGTACCACCTCTCCCTGTTGGATCATTCTGGCTATTTTGCCACATTTCTATAATCTCTTGTTTGAGTTACAATACCCTGCCTTAAAGGAATAAGTCAAGATAAAAAACTTCCAGGACAAATATTTAGGAAGAGGGCACGCTTTTCAAATTGTACTATTTAGGGATGGCAATGAACATTTATTGATCATGTCAGTTAATTTTTCATACAGACATCACCACTCTATGAGGTGTTTTCTTCCCTTTTAAAGATAAGAAAATTGAGACTCAGAAAAATTACTTAACCCAGGGATGTAGAACTAATAAGTTGCAGAGCTAGAATTTAAACCACAGTCTAGCTGCAACTTTTTTTTTTTTTTATAAGCTGGTCTTACCTCATTTCATTCGTTGTCCAGTTTTAGTCCCATTGCTACTGTCATCCTTGCTCATTTCAAAGTCGTTCAATAGGCAAACATTTTTTAAATAGCACTTTCCATATGCTTACTTGATCTACTCTGACAGACTTCCATATTATCTCTCCAGTGATTATGGAATAGTGTCTAGACCCCTGACTCCAGCATTCAAGGCTTTTCACACCGGCCACAATCCACTGTCCCAGCCTAATAGAAAGTGCGTTTCCATATCTGTCTCTTAACACTGCTGCAATTGTAATGGCCTTCCCTGACACTTTTGTCTTTCCAGATTCTTTTCCTTTATCAATTCTGATTCAGTAATACATTTTTCATTCAGATACCTGTTACAACTCAGGAACAGGACCCATGTCCTTCCCATTTACCCATTGAGTCCCATGTCCTTCCCATTTACCCATTGAGTGACTGGGGTTTCCCAAAATTAGACTTAGAGAGTCTTTTAAAACTCTGAAAATAACTTAAAAGCAAAATTATAATAATAGATAATACCCTAAAAGATTTCATGCTAGTAATGTATTTATTTCTTGTGGAACATGCTAGAGGATTATTTTAAGAGACAATTTTGTTTTATAGGTGTTGCTATATACACTGGAATGGAAACTAAGATGGCATTAAATTACAAGAGCAAATCACAGAAACGATCTGCAGTAGAAAAGTAAGAAAACTATTTTCAATTGTTTATATGTAATTATAATCATACTTTTTAATTCATTTGTTATAAAATATATAAATATATATGTTAAGTAAACAGGGTGAGAACCTTGGGAATATTGATAGTTTCTTATATTTTTATATACAAGTAACATTTTGCACAGTATTGGGCATTTAGTAGATGCTCTACAGTATAACTTTTTAAATAAATACTGTTGGATAAATGGTGGAATCACTTAATCAGACTAATGCTTCTGCAGATAACAGTTCTAAAACTGAAAAAATAAATTTTAATAAACAACTATTTGAAAACTTTGAAGACAAACCAGAATCAAATAGAAACAGGCAAGGAGTCTAATCCTGAAAGATGATAGCAGAAAGGGGGAAGAGTTAAAAGTACCACTCTTTGCCTCAGGGCACTCCCCAGTTTATGTGCTGTTTGGAACATCAAAAGGTCTAAACTTTACTGGATAGAAGTATCAGAGGACAAGGTTAAAAGCTGGAAGAGCAGCTGGAAAGTTAAAGGAAAATAATAAATGGGATTAGTGTTAATTCCTTTCTGTAAGCAATGAGAAGTAAGTGACAGAAGGGAATTAACTCTAAAAACTGCACGTAAATTCTGCCGAAGTCCTTGGCTGAACTATGTATGTGCAAGGGCAACAACAGAGAATTTTACTGCTGCCCATTGCATTGGAGACACAGTTTGGTGTTTGAGCCAGGTGAATTTAACTGACTGCTGCAATAAAAATTGGCACTCTTCTGAGGAACATAAAAGAATACAGACGTCTACAGTGTATTATTTATAAAGTCCAGTCTGCAAGAAAAAAATAAGCAGAATGTGAAGAAAATGTAATTTGTCCATAAGAGAAAAAGCACTCAATAGAAACTGTCTCCAAAATGATCCAGATCTTGCATTTGGCAGACAAGAACTTTAAAGCATATATTTATATTTATTATAAATATGTTCAAGGGTCTAAAGGAAAATTTGAATGAACATATGGGAAAACTCAGCAAAGAAATTGAAACTCTTGACTTGAAAAACATAATTACTAAAATGGAAACATCATTAGGTGGGCTCAACACCAGACTGAGGAAATGAACTTGAAAACACAACATAAATTACTCAGTCAAAGAACAGAGAGGGGAAAAGAATGAGGAAAAATGAACAGAGCTTCTGAGCCATGTGGGATAGTATGAAGTTGTCTGGCATAAGTATAATTGATTCCCAAAAAAATAAAAAAGAAAAAAGGGCAAATAAAAATATATGAAAAAATAATAACTGAAAATTTCTAAAATTTGAGGAAAAAACTTCAGCCTACACTACCAAGATCAGCAAACTCTAAGCAGGAAGAATGCAAAGAAAACCACACCAGAGTACATCATGGTCAAACTACTCGGATCCAAAGGAAAAAAGAGTATTTCAAGGAGCCAAAGAAAAATGCATGACAAAAGTAAATAACAATATGAGTGATAACTAGTTCTCATCAGAAACAACAGAGGACATTGGGGAAGGACATCCTCTTCAGTAAATGGTACTGGGAAAGTTGGATAGCCACATGCAGAAGAATGAAACTGAATCCTTGTCTTTCACCATATAGAAAATCAAGTCAAGGCTGAGCACTGTGGCTCATGCTTGTAATCCCAGCACTTTGGGAGACCAAGGCAGAAGGTCACTTGAGGTCAGGAGTTTGAGACCAGCCTGGCCAACATGGTGAAACTCCATCTGTACTAAAAATATAAAAATCAGCCAGGTGTGGTGGCACATGCCTGTAATCCCAGCTACTCAGTAGGAGGAGGCAGGAGAATCACATGAACCTGGGAGGCACAGGTTGCAGTGAACTGAGATCATACCACTGCACCCAGCCTGGGCAACAGAGCAAGATTCTGTCTCAAAAACAAACAAAAAGAAATGTGTATTAGAACCACAATGAGATGTCATCTTGCCTCAGTCTGAATGACTATTATTAAAAAGACAAAAAATAACAGATGCTGCCAAGGATATGGAGAAAAGGAAACTCTTGCACATGATTGGTAGGCATGTAAGTTGGGATAGCCACTATGGAAAATAGTCTGGAGGTGTCTCAAAAAACTAACAATGTAATTACCATATGATTTAACAATCCCACTATTGGGTTTTATCCAAAGGAACAGAAACCAGTGTATCAAAGGGATATCTGCACTTAAATGTTTATTGCAGCACTGTTCATAATAGCACAGCTGTGGATTCAGTCTGACAGTCTATCAACAAACAAATGGATAAAAAGATGTATACATACACATACAGTAAAATACCATTTGGCCATTATAAGAATGAATTCATGTTATTAGCAGCAACATGGATGTAACTGAAGATCATTATGTTAAGTGATATAAGCAAGCACAAAAGAGACACTTTATTAGTGGCACATGCCTGTAATCCCATTACTTTGGGAGGCCAAGGTGGGCAGATCACTTGAGGTCAGGAATTCAAGCCAACATGGTGAAACCCCATCTCTATTAAATATGGAAAAATTAGCCTGCGTGGTAGCATGCACCTATAGTCCCAGCTACGTGGGAGCCGGAAGCAGGAGAATCATTTGAATCCAGAAGGCGAGGCTGCAGTGAGCCAAGATCACACCACTGCACTCCAGCCTGGGTAACAGAGCAAGACTCCACGTCACAAAATTAAAAAAAGACATTAGTATTTTTCAAAGAACCAGCTTTTGGCTTTAATTTTGTACATATATATTTTTTGAGATGGAGTTTCACTCTTGTTACCCAGACTGGAGTGCAATGGCACGATCTCGGCTCACCGCAACCTCCGCCTTCTGGGTTCAAGCAATTCTCCTGCCTCAGCCTCCCTGGTAGCTGGGACTACAGGCATGCACCACCACGCCCAGCTAAAATTTGTATTTTTAGTAGAGACAGGGTTTCACCATGTTGACCAGGATGGTCTCGATCTCTTGACCTCGTGATCTACCCGCCTCGGCCGCCCAAAGTGCTGGGATTATAGGCGTGAGCCACCGCGCCCAGCCTAATTTTGTATATTGTTTATCTCTCTTCTATTTCATTGGCTTCAGCTTACACCTTCAATTAATTTCCTCTCTTTCTTCTCATTTTGGGTCTGATTATTCCTCTTTAACATCTTAAGGTGCTAGATGAACTCAAATGATTAATTATAAACTTTTCTTAAAAACCTATAAATGAACTGTTACAAAGTTCTTACATTTTATATGAGGTAATATAATAGCATCTATAAGTAAATTGTAGTAAGGTAAAGGTGCATATTCTGATCTCTAGAGCTATCATTAAAAGCAATAGGCAAAGATTTATAGCTAATAAGTCAGAGCAGCTGAATATTAAAATATTTGATGAACACAGTAGATAGCAAGAAAGGAAGAACAGAGAATCAAAAAACCAGATGAGACAAATAGAAAACAAATAGCAAAATGGTAATCCTAAATTTGACCCAAAATTACATGAAATGTAAATTCATCAGTCTAATGAAGTCAGAGATTGCCACAATGGATAAAAACGACAGACCCAACTCTGTGCTGTCTAGAAGAGATGCAGTTTACATACAAAAATATAAATAGGTTGACATTAAAAGAAACACTATGTATATAGTAACCATATGAAAACTGAAAACTAGAGTAATTCCATAATTATACATGGAAAGCTTATCTAGACAGATCAGATGATGAGCCATAAAACAAATCCCAACATGTTGAAATCATACACAGTATGTTCTTTGGCAATGAGGGAATTGAATTAAAAATCAGTAACAAAATCTGCAAATAGTTTGAAATTTAAAGACAACTCTTTTAACTGACTAACAATTCAAAGGAGAAATCACAGGAAATTTGAAATGTCTTCAAATAGAATGGTAGTTTAAATCCAACACATCTACATTTGCAGACTCAAGGCAAAGCCCAGCTCAGAGGAAAATTTCTGGCTATAAAGTTGATAACTTCCTACTGAGATTGACTGATTAAGCAAAAGAGAAGTGGTAGAAGAGAAAAAATAGACCATTCAGGTATGGCTTGTTGATTTTCAACAAAACAAGTCAATTCAATGAAAAAAATTAGTATTTTCTACAAAGATGCAGCAATTGGATATTCAAATGAGAGAAACATAAAACTTAGCTTCTACCTTATACTGTACTCCAAAACGTTTTTGAAAACAAGTCATAGACCTAAACATAAAAGCTAAAATTATAAAACTTTTAGAAGAAAACCTAGATATCTTTATGACCTAGAGTAGGTAAAGATTTCTTAGGCTACAAGAAATATAATAAAATATATTAAAAAATTGATAAGTTAAACTTTTTCAAAAGTAAAATCTTCTGCTCATCAGGCTGCACATTTAAAGAAATGAACATACACATTACAAACTGGGAGACAGTATTTGCAAAACATGTATCCGGCCAAAGTCTTGTATTCAGAATATATAATGAGTGTGTGTGTGTGTGTGTGTGTGTACCAGATACATGTTTTGTACACACACACAACACACACACCTGCCTACAAATCAACAATAAAAAGAGACGCCCATAAAAAAAATGGGCAAAAACTGGAAGGTAGACACTTAAACGGCCAATAAGCACATGGAAAAGTATACAACATCGTTACTTACGAGAGAAATGCAAATCAAAACTACAAGGAGATAAAAATGCATAACTTACTAGAATGGTAAAAATTGTAAAGACTTAATGTTTCAAGTATTGGTAAGATTTGGAACACGTGGAATTCTTCTAAATAATCCATGAGTCAGAGGAAGTCTTAAAAATTTTAAAAATACCTATATGTCAGTGAAAATACAGAATAATAAAACGTGTAGGATACAGCCAAAGCAATACACATTTCTAGCATAAATACTTACATTGGAACAGAAACAGCAATGACAAAGGGAAATGAACACTGAAACCATAATGCTACTTACAGTTGCTCCCCAAAGAAGGAACAACCGAGATACATATCTAACAAAATACATAACAATTCTCTGTGCTGAAAATTACAAAACCCTGAAGAAAGAAATCAAAGATCTAAATTTATGGAACAATATATTGTGTTCATGGGTAGAAAGACTCAGTACAGTAAAGATGTCAGTTTTCCCAACTCAATTAATAGGTATAATGCAATTTCTAGAAAAATCTCAGCGAGTTTTTATTTTTATGTTTAGAAATAGAAAATTTATTTTGAAATTTAGGTAGAAAAGCAAAAGAACAGTTTTGAAAATGAAAAATAAAGTGGGAAGAATTACTATCTGATGTTAAGTCTTACTATAAAGGCTACAGTAATGAAGACAATTTGGTGTTGGTGAAAGAGTAGACACATAGATCAGTGTTACATGATAGAGAACCCCAGAATAGACCAATACAAATAGGTCCAATTGATTTTTGGCAGCAGCAGCACAAAAGCAATACAGTAGAGAAAGGACAATCTTTTTCAACAAATGGTGCTAGAACAATTGGATGTCCATAGCAAAACAAACCTAGACCTCCACTCTGTATAAAAATTAATTCAGTGGGAACATAGATTTAACGTAAAACATTAAGCTACAAAACTTTTAGGAGAAAACAGAATCTTCAGGACCTAGCATTAGGCAAAAGAACTAGAAGACATGACACTAAAAGCATAATTCCTAAATGAAAAAATTTAATAAATTAAAGTTAAAAACTTGGTGCTGTGAAAGACCCTCTTAAAAGAATGAAAAAACAAGCAACACTGGGGAAAATACTTGCAAACCACAGATCTTTCAGAGCCTTTATGTTTAGAAATACAAAGAACTCTCATGAGGCCAGGCGCAGTGGCTCATGCCTGTAATCCCAGCACTTTGGGAGGCTGAGGCGGGGGGATCACGAGGTCAAGAGATCCAGACCATCCTGGTCAACTTGGTGAAACCCCGTCTCTAGTAAAAATAAAAAAATTAGCTGGGCGTGGTGGCTTGCACCTGTAGTCCCAGCTACTTGGGAGGCTGAGGCAGGAGAATCACTTGAACCTGCGAGGTGGAGGTTGCAGTGAGCCGAGGTCGCACCACTGCAATCTAGCCTGGCAACAGGGCAAGACTTTATCTCAAAAATAAAAACATATCAAAGTAAACATGAAAGAACTCTCAAACTCAACAGTAATTCAGTGATCCAATTAGAAAATGAGCAAAAGACATAGTTCATATTTCACCAAACACATACTTCACCAGAGAAAAGTTGCAGATGAAAAGCACATGAAAAGATATTCAGCATCGTTACCTATTAGAGAAAAGCAAATTAGAAATGCACTGAGCTATCACCACACCTCTTAGAATAGCTAAAATCAAAATGGTGATACCAAAAGTCTAGGAGGCAGAGAGAAATCTTTTCTGTGTTGTTGGTGAGAATTAAAAATAGCATACCCACTCTGGAAGATAGTTTGGCAAGCTAAACATGTTTACCATATGACCCAGCAGTGGTTAACTCAGAAATGAATTTTATGCTGGCACAAAAACTCAGGCAGAAATGTTCATAGCCGCCTTGTTACAGCAAAAAAACTGGAAACAGCCCGATGTCCTAGACATCTTCATTGAGCTTTTTTGTGTATCTGTTGCTGTAGTAGGTTTTCTGAGATGTAATTTCCTCTCTTTTGGAGATTTCAATCAAGTTGGAAGTTAAAACTAATACACAGTAAAAATTAGGTAATAGGGGCTGTGGTACTAGTTTTAAATTTAAATAAGGGAAAGTTGAATATAAACCAATGTAGTTAGGACAGACATTAGGAAGGAGATGGATTTTGAGTTAAATTTTGAAAAATACGTTATAGGGAAAAGGGAGAATGTGTCTGATGAGGTAGACATGAGCAAAGAAAGATGGAAATAAACCAGGCATTTTGTTGCTGCAAGGAGACATGACTAGTTTAGTGAAAAGAGGTCAGATTTAGAGTCAGACAGATGTAGATTTGAACTTCATATCCCTTCCTTACTAGTTCTGTGGCTTTGGACCAGTTGTTTCCTTCTCTTGATCTGAGTGTTCTCATCTGTAAATATGTGAGCAATACTGTAGGTGAAATGCTGAATGCTATACCTAACACATAATAACCAATAAAAGCCAGTTCTTCTCTTACGTTCCTTACTCCCTACCTACTGTCACTACAGAATATATAGACAGTTTACATTCAAACATGGTGGAGTATCAACTTATTCCATAGTTAAATTTAGGTTAAATTATGGAAGGCGTAGGGAGAAAAATCAGAGTTCAGGCATTTTTCAGTCTTTTAAGAGTTTTTACAAAGCCTGTGATTCACATTTTCCCTCGATATTTGTTGAATGCATGAGAGTTCATTATAACATGGCTTGTTTTGCATACATTTGAATTTGCAATGAGTTCCTTTAATTGTATTAATAATATGTTTTTTAACTTAAAGACGTGGCATTAAACTTACCTAGAAAAGAGAAGAGGGATTCTGAAATGAATTCCTGGGTTGTGTGATTTTTGGGTAATTTACAGAATTATTTTTGGGCTTGGTCTTTGTCAGTTAAAAAGTATGTAATCCCAGCACTTTGGGAGGCCGAGGCGGGTGGATCACGAGGTCAAGAGATTAAGACCATCCTGGTCAACATGGTGAAACCCCGTCTCTACTAAAAATACAAAAAATTAGCAGGGCATGGTGGCACGTGCCTGTAATCCCAGCTACTCAGGAGACTGAGGCGGGAGAATTGCTTGAACCCAGGAGGTGGAGGTTGCAGTGAACCGAGATCGTGCCATTGCACTCCAGCCTGGGTAACAAGAGCGAAACTCTGTCTCAAAAAAAAAAAAAAGTATGTAATAATTTCTCCTTTACAGGGTTTTCATCTAGATTAGAAAGGTTAGTAGATGTGGCAAAAATTTTAATGCTGTGCAAATATTTTTAGCTATTACACTTATAAGAAGATGGATGCTGAAAATGTAAAAATAAAAACAAAACAAAAACAGAATAATTACTTATGGCAAAAATAACTGACTAGAACCGTCATTTACTATAAGCATTTTGAATGGTAACCTGGCTATAGTAAACAGTCAGACTTGTAACCAGTGTGTCCATTCTTTTATTGCTAATAAATAAATTATGTTGAATGGTTATTTCTTGAAAACAAAAACTGTGTGTTTTAAAATAGCTACAGTAATACCTTCTATGTTTTAATATCTTCTCTAATACAAGTATTAACTTCCAAGCAGATGAATATAGTCATACATAACTGGTATGTTTTATATTCTCTTTTTCTTTCTTTAGGTCAATGAATACCTTTTTAATAATTTATCTAGTAATTCTTATATCCGAAGCTGTCATCAGTACTATCTTGAAGTATACATGGCAAGCTGAAGAAAAATGGGATGAACCTTGGTATAACCAAAAAACAGAACATCAAAGAAATAGCAGTAAGGTATTTTATGGTGTTACTGACTGTGTCATAAGGGAAACATTATTTGGCTTTAGTAGTGACTTCTAGGAGTGGTCACTGTAATCTTAAAACCATTAGTATTGAAGGGTGACAGAAATGGCATTACAAATACAGAAAAGCGAGCATGTTTGTACTGGTATGCTTTTTGCAGTTTATGGCATGAGAAGTTGTATTCCCTGTGGCATGACTTGAATAGTTCAAAGAGGTCACAAGATTTTAAATCCATCTATATTTGCATTTCACATGAATACTACAAACTCAGTTTTCGCTTCCATTTACTATATCTTATAAAAATGAATCAGAGTAAATGGTTGTATTTTTAATTTTGTCTGAATAATTCAAGGATGCTTATTACCAGTCTTAACATGAAGTAATATGCAAATTATATCATGTTTTAATTGATTAAACATCAACTACCAAGAGAATTTAACCTAAAATTTTGGTAAATAATTGTTCTCCAAATTTCACTTTAGATTAAAGTCTATGCATTAGAGGACAGGATCTCAAGAAACTACAAAGCAAATCATCACAGGGTCATATTTGTAATGTCATTCACAGTTAGGTACTTTTTCTTTCACAAATGCATGTTGAAATATGGAGCTGCTAAAGCCATTGAAGTAGGCTATTCCTATGTAATTTCTACTTAAGAGTTATAATTTCTAGCACTTTTAGCCTCACACTTACTTTATAACTTTTTACGAGTTACACTCACCTTTTAGTAGTTACTTGATTTTGAAGGGTAGTAGAAGAATGAGATAAGTACACTCCAGAGATTATAATTTTGCCAAAGGTAGTTTCAGTCTTACCAGGCTTTTTGTTAGCTTTTGAAAGTAACAAATTAACTTATTTGAATTTAACCTTTTCTTCATTTACTTCAACGAGATTCTAATGAGTGATAAAATAAACAGGAAATGTAATGTTAAAAAGTCAATTCAATAAATGAAATTCAGTAAATGAAATTCAATTCATGAGTCTATTCTAACTTACTATAGTTGATGGTCTATGTAGGTATGAAACTTTCTGGTAATTTTCTTCAGTAATATTGAAGAAATTCTAGTGTTTATTTTCTTGTCAAACAATTATTTCCTCTTTTCTAGATTCTGAGGTTTATTTCGGACTTCCTTGCTTTTTTGGTTCTCTACAATTTCATCATTCCAATTTCATTATATGTGACAGTTGAAATGCAGAAATTTCTTGGATCATTTTTTATTGGCTGGGATCTTGATCTGTATCATGAAGAATCAGATCAGAAAGCTCAAGTCAATACTTCTGATCTGAATGAAGAGCTTGGACAGGTGAAAATTATCCTAATATTTTGTTTTTCTAATTTTTTATTTTTATCAAAGCAATACATGTACAAAGATTAATGTAACAAGATATTACAGTGCTTATATCAAAACAACCCTCCTTCGCTCCACTCCTAGCTGTTTCCAGTTTTTAAACCCTAAGTTACTTATTTTGTTATTTACCACTATATTTCTATTTGATACTCATTCTTAAGTTTTAGACATTATCTACTATGGAATATACAGACAACTCATACTACTCTTCCCACACACATACCCAGACACATATCCACTTTGCTTCTCCATAGTCCCCTAATATTATCATATCACAATTTGGGATTTCATAAAATTTTTATTAACTTTACTATGATTGTTTTAATACTGTTCACTAATTCCCACTTCTGTAGGTGTGCCCTGTAATACTATAATTACATTTCCATTCTTATACATTTTGTTTTCTCAAGAGTTAATTGCTCTATTTTTTCATTTTCTTAATTTTCATATACCCCAAACAAGTCTCTGATAATATGTAGCATGTCTACACAGTCAAACATATCAGGTAATCTAGGAGTTTTTTCTTCCTCCCCACCTTCCTTTTTTTTTTTTTTTTTTTTTTTTTTTTTTTTTTTTTTTTGTAGCCGTGTCTTTGGAGGCTTTCACCTTTCTGCTCCAATTGGACTTAATCTTTTGTTCTTTCTGGGCTTGCTTCTCAGCTGTCACTCTGGACTTCCCTTTACCATCACCTTGGAAATTCTGCTGCCTCTCTCCTGTTTTGGATCTCCTTTTTCTCACATCCCATGTCTTCCCACCTGTAGCTTACTTTCTTTTGGTGCTGCACATCTTCTAATAACTTCCTGAGAAAGGATGTGAGAGGAAAATATTTTGAAACTTGGCATGTCTGAAAACATCTTTATTCTCTTTTCATACTTGATTAATGGTATTACATTCCAGATTGGAATCTTCAGAAATTTGAAGGCATTTTATTGTTTTCCAACCTCCAGTTCTGCTGTTTAGAAATCCAGTACCATTCTGATTCCCAATTCTTTATGTATGATCTGTTGTTTTATCTCTGGAAGCTTTAGGATTTCCTTATGCAGTCGTTCTGAAATTCATGATGGTGTACTTTGGTGTTGGTTTCTCCTTTTTTATTTTTTCTTTCATTGGCAATGAATTCTCTGAGTCTTTTCAGCCTGGAAACACATATTTTTCAATTCTAGGAAATGTTCTTGTGTTATTTCTTTTATAGCATGTCTTTCTATGTTTTTCTTCTTTTGAAACTTACTGTTTGCATGTGATACTGCTTATATTGACCCTTTAGTTCTCTTACTTCAATTTTCAGTTTTCATTTATTTGTTTTTATATTCTACTTTCTGGTAGAATTTCTCTGCTTTCTCTTTTTTCAGTATCTTTTGATTTATTTCTGCTATAATACTTTTAATTTCTAGTATTTTGGTATTCTCTGAATAGTTTTTTAAAATTGCATTTTATTCCATTTCTTGAACATAATCTATTTTTTTATCTTTTTGAGGATATTAATGACAGTTAAAAGTCTTCTTCCGCTCCTTTGCTTGTAGTTCATTTTCCAGAACAATCAATTCTGCTATAATGTGATACATGCATTCCTAAAATTCATTGCATAATGCAAAATTGCTTAGTAAAAGCCATAGGGTTTATGAGAGAATGGGATTAGGGGCACAACACAAAAACTTCATCAGTAATGCATTTAAAAAAATAGAAATCGAATAAAAATAGCACTTGCCAAATTGTTAATAAATACACAAATACTTCAGTGAATATAGCACTTACCTGGAAGAGATCTGAAGTTTGCCTATGGAAGACAGGCATCAGAAGGGTTGTATATGTTACTGTTAAGTGTTAGAAAGAAGGTTATCTGAAATCAGAGGGAAGGTTGTAATACTAGATGTGGATGAGTGTGACTCATAACACATGGTGAACTGAGACAGTAACTGAGGTTTGGGCAAAATTTGAGCAAAGTTTGCATTATGCTCAAATTGTCCCTTTATGTATCAGTTGCATTGGGATAAATTCATGTTTTGAAGACAGTGTTACAGCAGAACTGATTATAATTTGTTTCAGATTTAACCTTTTATTTAGGAGTGATCCTAAAATGAATGCTAATCTTTGGCTGTCATCAAGTTTAAAAGTGCTCTACCCACGTGGCTGAGGTGAGAGGATCACTTGAGCCCAGGAAGTCGAGGTTGCAGTGAGCCATGATCGCACCACTGCACTCCAGTCTGGGCAACAGAGTAAGACTCGGTCTCAAAAAAAATAAAAAATAAAAAATAAAAATAAGGCTGGGCTCAGTGGCTCGTGCTTATAATCCCAGTACTTTGGGAGGCCCAGGTGGGTGGATTGCTTGAGCCCAGGAGTTCAAGACCAGCCTGGACAACATGGCAAAACCCTGTCTCTACAAAAAAATACAAAAACAAAAAATACATAATTTAGTTGGAATACAAAAATTAGCCAGGTGCAGTGGTTTGCACCTGTAGTCCCAGCTACTTGGGATGCTAAGGTAGGATAATCGCTTGAGTGCAGGAGGTGGAGGTTACGGTGAGCCAAAATCGTGCCATTACACTCCAGCCTGGGCGACAGGAACGAAACCCTGTCTCAAAAAAAAAAAAAGTAAGGCAATGATATACTTATCAGAAGCTATTGATACATTGGGCCACATCTTAAGGTAATGGACTGACAAGCCCACCAGGTAATGTTTATGCTCCTTATAACTGCTGGAGCTGGCCAATGGAAATCTGTTTTTAGTGCGCTGCCGTACCTCTGTGTTCAGCTGTCTGTGGAGTCCAGATTCTTTCCGGTTCATCCTGCTTAAGGAATACACCTACTAGCTGTTGATCCAGTAAACAAGGGGTATTCTGAAGTTCACAACTTTTAAAGAGATTTCAGAATTTAAACTACTCCTGATACTCTGTATTTTCAGCCTCATCCTGTACTCCCACATTCAGGGGTGGTATGTTACTTCCTGAGAGTTTGTAAGAATGGGTTTCTTCATCACTTGGGTTTCAGATTCTAAGTTCTGGTAAATCAGTATCACTCATTCATTTCCTTTCCATCTTCCAAATTTGTGTCACTCTTGCATCTCATGTTGACTTTTTTACCATTATTTTTGTTCTTTTTTTATTTTTTTATCTTCATGGTGAAGTTGTAAGAGAAGCAGAGATAATTAAATGTGTTTAACCTGTCATATTTAACCACAAGTTGATCCATTTATTTTTAGTAGCATTTAGGAGGCCTTAATATTTATGTTAAATAATAATTCATGTCACATTTATTTAATTATATATCATATATTTAAGACTGAAAGGCCCGTTTTTACTTTTCTGAACAAAATTTTTCCAATCTTTGACCTTTTCTTTCTCAACTCTCTTCCCCTCCTTTTTCCTTCATGATAGAATTCTTGTTTGTCTGGAGCCTCACACTGTGGATGCATACCCGTGTCTGCTTCTCTCTTGCCCTCCTTTTTCCTTCATGATAGAATTGTTTTTCTGGAGCCTCACACTGTGGATGCATTCCCATGTCTGCTTTGTCTTCAAGAAACTTCTGGTGATCATTTCTTTAATTACTAATTTTCCCAGCCCCTCTTTCTGCTTTTGAAACTGCAAGTATGTCTTATATGTTCATTGCTTCTATTCCTGTTTTGTCTTTGTACCAATGAAATCTTTATTTCATATTTTTCTACGCTTTTTTATTTTCATATTATCCAAGAAACAACTCTTAGGAGGGTTTACAGTGGTGACCTGTTTATTTCCAAAATTAAAAGATTAAACTTCTTGATTTTATATATATACTTTTAAATCAAAGTTATTTTATTTATCCCTACCATCTAATCTTTTTTCTAAAGAATTCTCCATTACTGATAAGTCAGTCTGTATTCTAGTCACCTCTGGAGTATTATTTCTGTTTGGTTGCTAATGTAGCTTATATATTTTCTTTATAAGTCATTCCTCATTCTTCCTGATCTACATGTGTGGGGTTTTTTAAATTAACTTGCATGGGGTCTTTATATTTACCTTTAAATTTCAACTCAACATTGCTATAGATACTGGACAAAATTTAATATCAAATAGCAAAGATAAAATATTCTCTTATTTCCAGTTTCATCATTTATTTGCTTTTTGACTTTAAGAAAGATACTTAGCCTTACTCCTCCTCAGTTTCTTCTCTAAAATGTACGTTATGCCTACCTCCTGAGTTGTTAAGAGGATTTAATTAATTCAAACACTTACCAGTACTTGGAATATAGTAAGTGCTGTACAATTATTGGCTTTTATTATTTTACACATAGCAGAATTTCTATGTCTCAGTTGTTATATTTTTCTTTACTATTCCCCAAAATTTGATCCTTGAAGTACAGTTTCTCACTTACCTTTATTTCTTGGTCAAAACAATTTTTTTGCCAAATTTAAGCCTGCCTTTCTTTTTGGATATTGATCTTTATTCCTGGAATTTTGCTGAACTCATTTATTCTTTTTTTTTTTTTTTTAAGTGAATTTCTTGGGGTTTTCTGTATACAAGGTCATATCATGTGGAAATGGAGATGGTTTTATCTCTTATTTTCCAGTCATGTTAACTTTTATTTCCCATTTTTTGCCTAATCATCATGGCTAGAACCTTAAGTACAATGCTGAGTAAAAGTAACAAGAGCAGTCTTATTCCTGATCTTAGGAAGACAGCTCTCAGTCTCTCTCTCCATGATGTTAGCCGTGAGTTTTTAATAGATACCCTTTATCAGGCTGAGGAACTTCTTAGTCCTAGTTTGTTGAATGCTTTTATCATGAAGGTATTAGATTTTTATCAAATGCTTTTTCTGCACCAATTTTGGTGGTTATTTTATTAATAAAATGAAGGTCAAGTACCATATTAATAAAATATGATGGATTACATTGATTTTTTTTAAATGTTGACTCAATCGTGCAATTCTTGGTATAAATCCCACCTTTTGTAGTATATAATTCTTTTTATGTGTTTCTGGAGTTGATTTGCATCTCTTTATAAGGGATGTTGGTCTGTAGCTTGTTTCTTTTCTTGTGATTTCTACATCCCTTTTTAAAGGACTTCTTTCTCAAGTCATTATTACAGTAACCAAATTTTCATGATGATCCTGGTTGGATCAAGACTTGATTATTACATCCTTCTTTTCATTGACCTACTTTCTTTTAAAGAAATTTTTCTGGAATTAATCTCCAAAGGTAATAAAATAATTTGTCTTACCTACTTTTAAAAAAAATACTATATTTTCCTTTTAAACATTCATTCTTTTCTCTAAATTTGTTATCTGTCCTCAGTTTCAGCTTCTGTTTTAGACAGTTGGCCCTGCTAATGTCTTGTGTTGCTATTGCTGTCATTGTGTATTCCTGTTCCCAGTGCTGCTCTGTTTTTCTCCTCACTTAGATACCCTTTCACATTCTATGTTATTAAGCATCCTTTCCACTCTGCTTCAGAGATAATTCTTGAGTTTTACTACTTAAAATACCTCAGCCAAGAAACAGAAAATACGCATTAATACCAAATTCTCAGTCAGTTCTACAGATAAACGAGTACCTAAAGATGCCACAAACTTCAAAATCTATCTATGTAGCTTTAAACTATTTTGTATTACCCTGTTTTCCTTCCTTGGCATCTTTATGTATTTAATTGTGCTTGGATTATAAGAATCTTAGCATCCATATATCATTATTAATAGATAAACTTGACTTCAGGAGAGCGAGGACAGGGATTTTTTTCTTGTTTAACATAGAACCATGAACACAAAGGTTTATTTTCTTTTGTTTTCTATCTGTATAGGTAGAGTACCTGTTCACAGATAAAACTGGTACATTAACAGAAAATGAGATGCAGTTTCGGGAATGTTCAATTAATGGCATGAAATACCAAGAAATCAATGGTAGACTTGTGCCTGAAGGACCAACACCAGACTCTTCAGAAGGAAACTTATCTTATCTTAGCAGTTTATCCCATCTTAACAACTTATCCCATCTTACAGCCAGTTCCTGTTTCAGAACCAGTCCTGAAAATGAAACTGAACTAGTAAGTAATGTTTACATTAATAAATAAGGGTTTCAAATGAAATAATTCTCTTCAGTAGTTGATGAGTTATAGAAAAAAAGTTTGTGTTAGTGGAGCAAGGAATATATATTTGAAAGTCATATCTTTGATTCAACACTATAAAATATCCTAAGAATATGTGGTTACAGCCCAGTTTAACTTATTTAATATATATATATCTGCCTCAGCTCTTTGAGTATTTAAATGGAACGTAATTAAGAAAAGCTCCTTACTGCCTTGAAGTGAAGAAGACTTTGTTTGAAAAATAGAGCTTAAACTTACTTAATACTTTCTGAGACCTCGCTTTTTCTATAAAGTGTTCCCCTCTACTTGCAGTTTGGTTGTACCCCCTAAAAATTGCTCATGTGATGAAGAGTCCTAAGCAAATGTGACATTTTACTTTATGAAGGCAGAAACAGCCAACTATTCAGGCAATCAAGGTTGTAGCACTCTTGTTCTAGATCTTAGAATTATGCTTCTGGTTTCCAAAAATGATATTTAGAAATGGTATTTTTATTATGAATATTAATTATATTTTTTACAGATTAAAGAACATGATCTCTTCTTTAAAGCAGTCAGTCTTTGTCACACTGTACAGATTAGCAGTGTTCAGACTGAATGCATTGGTGATGGTCCCTGGCAGTCCAACCTGGCACCTTCACAGTTGGAGTACTATGCATCTTCACCAGATGAAAAGGCTCTAGTAGAAGCTGCTGCAAGGTAATTTAGTCTAATTTCTAAATCTTCAGAAAAACACCTTTTAAATAAGTGTAACAGTATTAGAGTCATCATTTAAAATTTTCAAACATAAATTCACTTTATTGTCAGAATACATATAAATACATAAAAATAGAAGTATAATTAAATTTTAAATGAGAATTTGAAGTCATTTTAGTATCAAGCTTGCATTGAATCTTTTTTTAAGATCTCTTTGAAAGTCTGAGTACTAAAAAGTCCGTGTAATAGAATTTATGAAAAATGCTTGTGTATGTGTTGTATTACATCACCTCTGATATTTCTAGTTCTTAAAGGTATATATATACATATATGTATATATTTTGTTTGTTTGTTTTTGAGATGGAGTCTCACTCTGTCACCAAGAGTGGCGTGAGCTCAGCTCACTATACCCTCTGCCTCCAGAGTTCAGGTGATTCTCCTGCCTCAGCCTTCTGAATAGCTGGGACCACAGGCACAGGCCACCACACCTGGCTAATTTTTGTATTTTTAGTAGAGATGGGTTTTTGCCATGTTAACCAGGCTGGTCTTGAACTCCTAACCTCATGTGATCAACCTGCCTTGGCCTCCCACAGTGCTGGGATTACAGGCATCAGCCAGCACTTCTGGCACCAAAGTAGTGATGTATTATTAAGAGAAAATATTTTTAAATGTATTTGAAACTTTTATTTTAAATGTTTTTATTCAAATTAAGCTATAGTGACATTGTGAAGTATGCAGTGTTGTTTTTAAGTCTCACTTTTTTATCCTTTTAATGTCTAGGATTGGTATTGTATTTATTGGCAATTCTGAAGAAACTATGGAAGTTAAAACACTTGGAAAACTGGAACGGTAATTTTTTTCACATATTGGAATGTTCTCTGTGTTAAGTGTATACAATATAGAATAGGGATCAGTAAACTATAGCTCACAGGGCAAATCTGGCCTACTTTTTTGTTTTTGTACAGCCCACAAATTCCTTTTTTTTTTGAGGCAGAATCTTGCTCTGTCACCCAGGCTGAAGTGCAGTGGCACAATATTGGCTCACTCAGCCTCCACCTCCCACGTTTAAGCAATACTTGTGCCTCAGCCTCCCGAGTAGCTGGGATTTCATGCATGCACCACTGTGCCTGGCTAATACTTGTATTTTTAGTGGAGATGTTGACCACGCTGGTCTGGAACTCCTAGCCTCAAGAGATTCACCCACCTTGGCCTCCCAAAGTACTGGGATTACAGGTGTGAGCCACCGTGCCCAGCCCACATTGCATTTTTAAAGGGTTGTTTTAAAAAGAAGTAAGAATATGCAACAGAGACTATATATGGCCTGCAAAGCCTGAAATATTTACTCTTGTCCTTTACAGAAAAAGTTACTGAACTCTGCTCTAGAATGATATTAACATTATATTGTATCTCATCATAGTTACAACAGTAGTCTGCTTTATTATTTAATCTATATTTTAGCTTAGTGATTCTGAAATTTACTTGTATGTTTATTTTGAGATGCTCCTGGGTAATGAGTTTCATAGGTTCCTACTCATTGAATAAAGAAAACTTTCCTTCTATTTCCTGTGATTTTTATCTTTCACACACAAAGGAACAGCTGTCTACATCTAGTTTTTTCATTCTTTGATAAATTAATTCATGTTTAATATCATTATTCCTTTCATGGTTTTAGCAGTTCTGATTATGTGTCAATTCCAGCTGTGCTTTTCCAAACTATGCTTTTGCATACTAAATAGGGCCCATTCCTTGGCTACTTTCATGTGAGAGCCTGACTAGCTTATTTCATTAACTTATAAAGCATTATTCAACTCATTGTTTTTCTTTGAGATATGTAAAGATTTCATACATAAATCACCATGTAAGATTCATCTGGAAGACTTTAAGCCACACCTCACCTAGCCACACAAATTCTTCTATACCTTCCTAGAGAGGCACTAGGGAATGCACCCCTACACACACACCCAGGTTCACAGTCACTGCTGTAATGAGCCTTTGATATTAATGTGTGTTGTGTTTGTCAGGTGTGTTAGAATAGAAAAGAGGGTTGAGAATCACCTTTTTTAGTCAGAAAAACATGGGGCTGGGCTCATCTGGATTCCAGTCCTTGCTCTGCCACTCACACTCATCTGACTTTAGGCAAATTACTTAATCTTTCTGAGTTTAATCGTCCCTGTCTATAAAAATGAGGTAAGACCTACTTCTTTGGCTTCTCATGGGTATTAAATGATATATAAGGTATGTGAAATACATGGCATTTGGTAAGTACTCAATGTTAGTCTCTTCTGTTTCTTTCCTATTGTTAATGATGTATAACCTATCATTATGAAAATGAGATTAATTTCTTGTTCTAAATTAGCCATTTTATCTTATATATGGATTATTTCCATATAGTCACTTACTATTATTCAAAAATGTAAGTTTTTGTCTTTCTTATTTTCCTTAGGTACAAACTACTTCATATTCTGGAATTTGATTCAGATCGTAGGAGAATGAGTGTAATTGTTCAGGCACCTTCAGGTAACCAATCTAAACTTTCATGAATTGTTATTTATGTCATATTAGGAGTTTGATAACGCATATTTTTGGTCTCCAGGTGAGAAGTTATTATTTGCTAAAGGAGCCGAGTCATCAATTCTCCCTAAATGTATAGGTGGAGAAATAGAAAAAACCAGAATTCATGTAGATGAATTTGCTTTGGTAAGTGCAGATTTCTATGATGTAAAACACTGGGAAAGATATATTTATGAAAGATTTTGGACTTTATTTTTTATAATTTATCAAAAATTATGGAAATTCTGCAGTTGTGTTACACCATGTATTGGCTCCACATTCCTTTTGTGAAAGCTGGCTTTACTTGCGAAATGTATCTTCTCTTCAAACCTGTTTTGTATACAGAATACAGCCCTGAATACAGTCAGGTTGCAAGGTCTACTCAAACTATGCTATTTTAAGAGGGTATTTATTAAACAAATACGGGGTAATCCTAATGATATGGAGAAACTGGAACTGTTATACACATGTTGCTGGTAGGAGTATAAATGATACAACCACACTGAAAAATAATTTGGCTAAGTTCCTCAGAAGGTAAATACAGAGTGATTATATGACACAGCAGTTCTCCTGGGTGTACACCTAAGACAGCTGAAAGCATGTCCACGAAAAAACTTCATACATGAGTGTTCATAAGCAGCATTATTTCTAATAACTTAAATGTCCAACTAATGAGTGGATAGGCAAAATGTGGTATATCCATATAATGGAATATCATTTGGCTGTTAAAAGGAATGAAGTACTATATATACAATAAAATGGATGATCTTGAAAAGATTATACTGAGTGAAAGAAGCCAGTCAAAAAAGGCCATATGTTGCATTTATATGAAATATCCAGAATAGTCAATTTCATAGAGAAAGCAGATTAATGGTTGCCAGGGGCTGGAGGAAGGAGAGAAAGGAGAGTCCTTGTGGGATCAATGAGGTGTTATGGATTTAGATAGTGGTGATAATTGCACAATTCTGTGAATATGAAAAAAAAAAAACCCCACTGATTTGTGCTATTCGTAGAGGTGAATTTTATGGTATATGAATTATATCTCTCTTATTTACAAAGTAAAAAAATGTAGGGGAATCTTACTAAGTCAAAGAGCCATCATTCATGTAAATAGCAAAATTATTACACAGGTCTCTCACAGTCTTCATGATCTCTCATTTTTGCATGTCTATAAACGTATGCCCCATACCTCTGCTCATCTGCCTTTAACAGTTTATGGTTTTTCTCCCATAATTTGTTTCCTAATTGTTTATGTTCCAGTTTACTTAACCACATTGTAACATCTGTGAGAACAAAGACATTATTCTGCCTTATCACCATTTTAACATTTAAAATAATGCTGGCACATAGTTGGTGCTCAGAAAGTATTTGTAATAGAATGAATTAATTTATATATTAATAACAGATGGTCCTTTTACTATTAAAAGAAGCACATTTATAGGTATGGGTCATTTATAAGTCAGGGAATGGTAGTATTTGGAAATCTGCTAAATAGTGTCATATAGTATTTTTAAGTCTACCCTTTCCAAGTTGTTATTAAAATATTTATTATGGGGCTCAGCACAACTCATGCCTGTAATCCCAGCACTTTGGAATGCTGAGGCAGTATCACTTGAGACCAGAAGTTTGAGACCAGCCTGGGCAATGTAGCAGGACCCCCATCTCTACCAAAAAATAGCCAGGTGTGGTGGCACATGTCTATAGTCTTAGCCACTCGGGAGACTGAGGCAGCAGGATCACTTGAGCCCAGGAGTGACACTTGATTTCCTGTCATTAGGTGATAGTACTTTTTAAATGATCTGTGATTGACTTTTGGTAATAGGTCCTCAGTATATTTGGGTAGTGACTTCCTGATTTTCTGTTAGCTATTTGTGTTCAGTTTTTGTCTTTAACTTTTGTTTGTTTATTTTAGAAAGGGCTAAGAACTCTGTGTATAGCATATAGAAAATTTACATCAAAAGAGTATGAAGAAATAGATAAACGCATATTTGAAGCCAGGACTGCCTTGCAGCAGCGGGAAGATAAATTAGCAAATGTTTTCCAGTTCATAGAGAAAGACCTGATACTACTTGGAGCCACAGCAGTAGAAGACAGGTAACTCAGACAAGTAAACAATATTACTTTTCTTTCATAAGAATTTTTCTAACCAAGTGTTCTAATATATAACACAAATTCTCTTTACTAACATCGTATGGTAAATTAATATATTTAAGATCAAAATAGAGAACTAAAGTCTTAATTTTTTTAAGTCAAGATATGCAATGTTTCTTTTTCTTTTCAGACTACAAGATAAAGTTCGAGAAACTATTGAAGCATTGAGAATGGCTGGTATCAAAGTATGGGTACTTACTGGAGATAAACATGAAACAGCTGTTAGTGTGAGTTTATCATGTGGCCATTTTCATAGAACCATGAACATCCTTGAACTTATAAATCAGAAATCAGACAGCGAATGTGCTGAACAACTAAGGCAGCTTGCCAGAAGGTAAGAATATAGGTATCTATATCATACCTTTCTGGGGTTAGCAAACTGTGGTTCCCCGGGCCCAATTATAGAGCCCGCTGTTACTGCCTGTTTTTTTACAGCCTATCAGTAGTTTTTACATTTTTTGATGGATGAAAAGAAATCCAAAGAATAATAATATTTTATGAAGTGAAAACTATGTGAAATTCAAATTTCATATAAAGTTTGATCGGAACACAGTCATATTCATATGTGTACATATTATCAATGAGTGTTCTTATGCTACAGCACCAGAATAGAGTAATTGCAGCAGAGACTTTACAAAAGTTTTCTCTCTTCAACTTCACGCTGCTGTCTGATACACTGCAAAGCACAGTGAGATACGTATAATGTGATAGTATTTGGAGTGGCCATGTAAAGCATCATATTGTGACGTTTTACTGTTTTTTTTTAGTGTCAGTATATGGCCTTCATATCAAAACAAGAAAAGTGGACTTTTAACATTACACTTTTAAAGCACTGGGGATAGGGGATTGTTTTATTTTTCAATTAGATAGCAAAGCATTGTTTATTATGCATTGATATGTTAGCTGTGCTACCTGTTTGAAAAGACATTTTCTTTTTTTTTTTTTTTTTTTTTTCTTGAGACCGAGTTTCGCTCTTGTTACCCAGGCTGGAGTGCAAGGGCGTGATCTCGGCTCACCACAACCTCTGCCTCCTGGGTTCAGGCAATTCTCCTGCCTCAGCCTCCTGAGTAGCTGGGATTACAGGCACGCGCCACCATGCCCAGCTAATTTTTTTTTTGTATTTTTAGTAGAGACAAGGTTTCACCGTGTTGACCAGGATGGTCTCGATCTCTTGACCTCGTGATCCACCCACCTTGGCCTCCCAAAGTGTAAAAAGACATTTTCAAAGATGAATTATAAATCTCATTACATACAGAGCTATTGTATTGAAATGTAAAAATCTCATTACAGATGGTCATTAACAGATGAACAGTTGCGGTGTTAACTTTGAACCCCAATTAAACAAAAATCCCTTGCCCAAAAGAAATATTTTTATTTTTCTCATCAGTAAACCTCTGTTATTTAAAAAATCATACTCAATGATTACTACATTTTTAACTTAGTGAAATTTTCTTGATTTTTTTTTTCTCTCTTATTATATAACTACCTATATCCTCAATTTTGCCTCCTGGCTCACAAAACCTAAAATTGAAATATTTACTCTCTGGCCCATAACAGGAAACATTTGCCAACCCTTGATCTAGTTTGCATGACGAAGCCACATTTTACTGTTCAAGATTTTTTAATAAGAATTTATACTCTAAATTCTGTCTTTCTTGTAAATCCATCTTTTATAGGCATATCAAATTTCTACCCCATCTGGGGGCAAATGATGCCCCTTTAACACAGTTCAGTTTCTCCCAGTAAACTAAGGAGGACTTCATTTGAGCGTCAGGGCTGCTTGCGTAAGCATGTTAGGTCTCCTGCAGCTTTCTGTTGATTGCTGTCTGGTAATACTAATCCAGAAAAATAAACAAAAAGAGACAATATCATAGCTGTTAATATACAATCAATGTTTTATTTATATTTTTTTACACAGGCAATTGATGTGATACTAAAGCCTAGAGTTCATCTTTTCAAGACCTATTTCATAGATATTTTTAAAAGATAGTACAGGGTCTTTTAAAAATATCTCTTAAGTAGGGTGACACTGGGTCTGGGTGCAAAAAGGTAATTGATTTAGGTAATTATACTACAATTTTGGGACAGCGTCAACAACATTGTGGTTGCTTCAGCGTTTAAACACTGCAGTATGACGAACTTCCTAAAACACAAATTATTTGCTCAGAATTACTTACTTTATATATGCCTTTTTAAATATTTTTTTTCTGGCTGGGCACCTGGCTCATGCCTCTAATCCCAACACTGGGAGGCTCAGGTGGTTCGCTTGAGTACAGGAGTTTGAGACCAACATGGTCAACATAACGAGGCCCTGTCCCCACAAAAAATTTAAACGTTAGCCAGGTGTGGTGGCTTGTATCTGTAGTCCAAGCTACTCCAGAAGCTGAGGCAAGAGGATCACTTGAGCCCAGAAGTCCAAGGCTGCAGTGAACTGTGCTCTCGCCTAAAATTTTTTTAAATATTTTTCTGATTATAAAAATAATCAACGTCTACTTGAAAAATACTGAAAATTGTAAAGCATAAAGTGATTATATATAACAAAGTCATGAGAAGATTAATATTTGTAATTTAGGCTGTTTTCTTTAAGTCTTCTTTATAGAGGTGGTTTTAATATATATGCTAATCATTAGTACTCATTTCCTTTTTTGTATAAAAGCTGTATTATAAAACAAAGACTGTACTCTTAAAAGTGAATTTTAGGGTTGCCATCTTAGTCTGTTTGTGCTGCTGTAGCAAAATACCTGAGACTAGGTAATTTATGAAGAACAGAAATTTATTTCTCACAATTCTGGAGGCTGGGAAGTTGAAGATCAAGGCACCAGCAAGTTGTGTGGTGAGGGCTGCTCTCTGTTCCAAAGTGGTGCCTTGTTGTTGCTTCCTTTTGAAGGGAGGATTGCTGTGTCCTCACGGTGAAAGGGACGAACAGCAAGAGAAGGCAGACTGCTGAAGCCTCTTTGATCAGGGCATGAATCCATGCATGAAACTTAAGCCACTGTGACTTCATTGCTTTCCAAAGGCCCCACTTCATAACAACCGCCACAATGGCAATTAACTTCCAGAATGAATTGTGGAAGGGAATTGACATTCAAACCATAGCACTTACTATGTGAAATTTATGCTATATTTTAGAGAGATCTTTTTGATGGAATACATATTATGAGATAACCATATAAGTCAATAGGACCTGTGATTCACAGACTTTCAGGAAGTATCTGTTATAAAAATCCTGTGTTGAACAAAGAGTTTCATGCCTTTGAAAGCTTTATATATATATCCATTCCTTCACAGAGATATATTGTCATCTGTCTAGACATTTGGAACAGCGACATAAGGTGTGTTGTTTACACCCTGAATACTTACAGTGTGTAGGGAAAACAGAGAAGTAAATACACTGTCATAGTCCTGTCCCAACAGAACTGTAACTGAGGCAAGAACAGAAGCTCTGAGAGGACAGCAGAGAGAAGCTTCACCTAGCCCAGGGCTATCAGGGAGAGCTCTGGAACAACCAGTGACTGTGTTCCCTCCTGTGAGGCGAAATGTTCACTGGACAGAGAGTGACACTCAGAAGAAAAGGGGAGGCTGGGCACAGTGGCTCATAATCCTGATTTATAGGCACAGTGGCCTACAATCACTTTGGGAGGCCAAGGCAGGCAGATCACTTGAGTCTAGGAGTTCAAGACCAGCCTGGACAATGTAGTGAAACCCTGTCTCCACAAACAATACAGAAATTAGACGTGCATGGTAATACACGCTTGTAGTCCCAGCTACTTGGGAGGCTGAGATGGGAGGATGGATTGAACCAGGGAGGTTAAGGCTGCAGTGAGCTGTGATCGCACCACTGCACTCCATCCTGGGTGACAGAGTGAAATGCTGTCTCACTCTGTCAGCAAAGGGGGCAGTGCTTGCAAATTCAGAACTGAGAGAGAGGGGGACATATTCAAGGAAATAATTACAAACCATGGCCAGGGAGTGGTATAGATGGGACAGGGTATGAAGAGTAGTGATGCATGCATTTTAAATGCATGAGATGAGCAAATGCTACCTGTGTGCCAAAGATGTGGCTCCTTTTCCATATTTCTTAAATATTATTCCGTGGATTGTAAGGTCATAATATGATTCATGAAGCCTGTCCAGAGGAAAACCAAATTTCATGTGCCTTGAGAATGTTTCTGAGGAAAACTGATTTGCTCTGTCTCACTCTTGACTGCTAGCATTTCTGAGGCATGTTGCTTGGGTAGTGCTTTGGACAGGCTGAAGACGGTGGAGACAGCATAAATTGCCAAATAAAGTGTGGCTGATAGGGAAGAAAAATCTGATTATAAAAAATGGCAAAATATTGTGCTATAGTCAATATAGGTGTTGATTCCAGATATTGGAGAGTTAGTCATAATGAGAAAACTACATTTTATAAAATTGTATGCTGTAAAGTGAATTGCTTACCACTTACTACTGTAGCACAACCCAACAGTGATTAGGCATCCTATGAAAGACATCACCTTAACTTACAAAAGTTTTTATTATGAGACTAAAATCTATCAATATATGTTTAACTTTTGTAGCTTGTGCTCATTTAATAGTCTTCTCACTTCTTATTTTTAAATGGAGGGATAGTTCTTAGCAGAGGCTGTTGTTCTGTGAACCTGTGGTACTTGTGGGGTACCTATATAAACATTTTTATATAAGGTGTATATAGCACAGTGCTGTACTGAGTACTGGCTTTCAACAACATAACGGAGCTTATGTCAAAATATAAATCTAGGTATACTTCAGTCATCAAGAAAGTGTTATTACCAAAGGAGAACTGGGAAGAGGGGAGAATCAGTTTAATAAAATAGTGTGCTTAGTGATTTTGTTAATTTACATTCTGGTGTAGTCTCCTTACCTCTTCTGGCAACAAATGGTTTGCCCACCTTCCAGCAATGAGACTGTACTTGGAGTAGCTCCTATGTAGCGTATACCCACTTGTGAGGTGTTACCCATGTTCTCCCATAGTAACATCTACCATTACAATCCATCATAGATTTTCTATCGAATGACAGTATTGTTCCTTCATTCTTTTTCTTGCTTGTTATACATATGGTAAATCTTGATCGTTGGTTTTCCTGAACATTCTTGATTTCATATAGTTTTTTGAATCAGGATTTGCTAAATGTTTAATGTTTCGATTTTTGTAAGAATTTTCATACAGTTTGGGAGAATATCCTCGGATTATGTATTATAATTCACATTTTACAAAATATAATTACTATGTATATCATTTCATTGTGAAATTGAATATTAGGCCAGGAATAGCGGCTCACACCTGTAATCCCAGCACTCTGAGAGGCTGAGACAGGCAGATCACTTGAGGTCAGAAGTTTGAGACCAGCATTGGTGGGCAACATGGTGAAACCCTGTCTCTACTAAAAATAACAACAATTAGCCAATCATGGTGGCTCATGCCTATAGTCCCAGATACTTGGGAAGCTGAAGTTTAGCCACCGTGATTGGCTAAATTTCAGAGAGAATCACTTGAGCCCAGGATATCAGGGCTACAGTGAGCCCCTATACTCCAGCCTGGGTGACAAACCAAGACTGTTTCCAAAAGAAAAATAATTGAATATTATCTGTTTTACTCATCATATCAGTGACTCAGTTCTACTTCATTTTAAACTTAAGGTAATACAGCAGAGTTTGTTTCCTGACACATCAGTCTTATAACAGTAAGGGCTGTGGGTAAATAAGCTATCTCTCAGTAAGAATGTGTTGTTCTATATGAGTGTAAATAACATGGCTTCAAACTGTCTTACAGAGAATATAATTATTTTCTCTTTTAGAATTACAGAGGATCATGTGATTCAGCATGGGCTGGTAGTGGATGGGACCAGCCTGTCTCTTGCACTCAGGGAGCATGAAAAACTATTTATGGAAGTTTGCAGAAATTGTTCAGCTGTATTATGCTGTCGTATGGCTCCACTGCAGAAAGCAAAAGTATGTATATATGTTATAAAAAGTCCCATAAAGATATTTAGATATAAACATATTCTTTAAAGTTAATGCCTTACATAGTTTTATTTGGTGCTATACAGTATATAAGTTTTACTAGGAGTCAGTCACATCTCATATTATAAATTTTAACCATGTACAGTAGACTTTTGGAATTTTCAATGAGCTTCAACTATTCAGTGACCCAGAAAGTCTGTGATGAGTAGCAGTTTGTGATCTTGCAGAAATTAAACTGTGATAACTAATGTTTCACGAGTTAGTTACTTAGCAAGTGAAGGAGCCTAGTAAGAGACATCAGTCATTTGCACTGTCAGATGGTTCTGTTGATCTCCATTTACTCTTGGATTTTCATGAAGTGATAATTTGTTGTTATAGTGATATAGTTATATAACATTCTTATGAAGTGATAATTTTTTTGTTACTTTTTGCTATAAAGTGATAAAGCTTTAGTGCAAAAAGTTGAAAAGCCAATTAACTTGAATGTAAAGCTTATATAAATTTCAGCTACCTATGTGATTCAAGTGAAAGCCTATATAAACATTTTTTTTTTTTTTAGATGGAGTCGCACTCTGTCACCCAGGCTGGAGTGCAGTGACCCAATCTTGGTTCACTGTAACCTCGGTCTCCCAGGTTCAAGCGATTCTTCCAGCTCACATCCTGAGTAGCTGGGACTATAGGCACTCGCCACCATACCCAGCTAATTTTTGTATTTTTAGTAGAGTTGGGGTTTTACCATGTTGGCCAGGCTGGTCTTGAAGTCCACACCTCGTGATATGCCTGCCTTGGCCTCTTAAAGTGCTGGGACTACAGGCGTGAGCCACCGTGTGCCTGGACAAACATTTTTTATAAGTCTAAATTTGGAATTTGAAGTCTTAGACTGTTTTTCACAAATATCCTTTGCAATGCACATCTAAATATTATTTCCCATATAGGTCTAATAAATTAGACATCCAGTTTTTAGGGCTTCGTGGAATTTATTACAGTGCCTATGTTCTGATAATTCATGGACCTCAGTCTATGGAGACTAAAACTGGAGATCAAACAGAGCAAATACCAAGGTTCTTTTTTTTTTTTTTTTTTGAAACGGAGTTCCACTCCTGTTACCCAGGCTGGAATGCAATGGCACTATCTCGGCTCACCGCAACCTCCGCCTCCTGGGTTCAAGCAATTCTCCTGCCTCAGCCTCCTGAGTAGCTGGGACTACAGGTGCGCACCACCATGCCCAGCTAATTTTTGTATTTTTAGTAGAGACGGGGTTTCACCTTGTTGACCAGGAAGGTTCTTTATCAAAGTACATTCAAGAATTCCAAAGAAACAGTGTTTTTGAGTTCATTGAATTGAATCTTGATTTTTAAAATACATTTAAATTTTATTACAAAAGGAAACAATTATTTTTCTTTCATGTCAAATGAAAAAATAATTTCTTGAGAAAGAAAAATTTTGCCTAACAGTTTAATTAAGTGCATTTTTTTACCCAGTTATTAATCCTTCTAATATTTAAGCTGTATTTAAGAGATTCTTGTTTCTCATCATAAAATCCATACCATTTCTGAAAGACATTTCTAAAATCTTGAGATACCCTCAAAAAAAAAGAACCTCAGTGCATATTATTATCTAATGTGAAATTAAATATTTCTTTCATTAGTGTTCTTACTAGAGTCGTTTTAGATAAATGACTTTATATAAATGCCAGAAAATTGAAAATGTGTCGTAAATAACTAATTCATTATGTCTTTCAGGTAATAAGACTAATAAAAATATCACCTGAGAAACCTATAACATTGGCTGTTGGTGATGGTGCTAATGACGTAAGCATGATACAAGAAGCCCATGTTGGCATAGGTGATTAATTTTTTCTGAAAAGTTTTTCCCAAACCTTTAAAGTTGGCAGTATTATTTGGTGGTTTTGAATTTTCTTTTTGTAGATTAAAGTGCAGTATCAAATTTGTGAATGAAAACTAAATGCAACATGGTAATGTAACACAGTGTACCCCATCAGAAACTTACTATAATTAAGCCCACTCTTATGTATATTTTCATTCCAAATTTTAGTTTCACATTTTAAATGGAATAAATACCACATTAGTGAATTTTGTCTTTGCCAGTTCTTTTTCATAGTGAAAGTAACTTTATTTTTACATACCATTTGTACCTTTTAAAGTACTTTCACATTATTTTACCTTTTTTAAATTCTAAATTTGTGATTTACATAGTTGCCCTTATGGTTCTTGTTTTAGAATGTTATTGTTACTCAGTTTATTTGTAAATCTAAAGATTCTACAGTGCATTTTAAAGATAATTGTAAAGGCAGGAAATTGCACCAAACAATAATAAAAATATAAAATCTCAAGTAGTTTTCTCATTTTAATAACCTTTATCGTTACTCTTTTCTATTTTTGCCTAAAACTTTTATTTGATTCAGGCTGCTAATATCATTTCATTATATGTAATTTATTAATCCTTTCCATTTTAGCTATGTAATCAATCTTATTATATAAATACAGAGCAAAATGAAAAGTTAGGCTTGGGATTTTTTTATGGAAGGATAAAATGTGAGAGTTAAGCTCATCTCTGTTCTGGAATAGTCTCTATAGTGTGCTAGATGGGTAGTTATTAGGTCTGGTCTTTTCCATGTGTCTCTCAAATAACTCCTTCCTCTTTCAGATCATTAACTCTTCATTTTGAAAACTTCTCCTTTTAGTTCGTATAAATCTTCATAGCAGCTTGATGACAACTTCCTAATCCATACATTTGAGGCCATAAAAACGTACAGTATTTATAACAGTTTGATTCTTCAATGGTAATAGGCAGACCAGTGACTAGAATGCATTCAAGCATCTGGAAGTTTAGAGTATAACAAAGGAAATACTTCAAATAAGCAGGAAAACAAATTATTTATTTTTAAAAAATGGATAAAACCTGTTAGTTATTTGGAAAAAAAGAGAAATTGGGTCTCTGTTACTTACAACAAAACAAATTCAGGATGAATTAGGATTTAAATAACTAATAAAGACCCAAAAAAATAGAAGAAAATTTAATGAATAATTCTGTTATTTGAGGACAACGCCAAAGCAAGGAACTATAGTTAACTTTAAGGAAAAGATTGTGCAGAGCTAAAAACTCCCAAAACAAATTTTAAAGACGAACTGGTAAAGAATATTTGTAAAATAGATGACAAAGTTTTAATAATCCTGGTTATGAAGTATTAACAGATTAATGAGAATAAGAATAACATTTCAGCGGAAGAATCTCAACATACGTGGAAGGATGTGAGCAATCAGTTGTCACAAAAGGAGAAATCAAAAAAGAATACTAAATGGATGAAAAAAAAAGTTCAGGCCAGGTGCGGTGACTCACGCCTCTAATCAAAGCACTTTGGGAGCCCAAGGCAGGCAGATCACGAGGTCAAGAGATCGAGACCATCCTGGCCAGCATGGTGAAACATCGTCTCTACTAAAAATACAAAAATTAGCTGGGCGTGGTGGTGCGTGCCTGTAGTCCCAGATACATGGGAGACTGAGGCAGGAGAATTGCTTGAACTGGACTCCAGCCTGGCGCCTGGGGACAGAGCAAGACTCTGTCTCAAAAAAAAAAAAAAAGAAAGAAAAAAAAAGTTCAGTCCCTCCAACAATGGAAATTAAAACTGCCTGTCAGATTAGTATGTACTGTAATGTATTACAAACATTGATAAGCCTGGAGTTGGTAAAGGTATAGATTAACAAATGGTCTTACACAACGTTACTGGCAGCATAAATTGGTATACCCTGCATCATTATTCAAAACAGAATTTTAAATGTATGCCTATTGACATTAAATTATGCATGCAGGAATTTCTTCTAGGAAAAAAATTGAGCATGTTAATAAAGATATACATTACAAGTATACATTATAAGCAATGTACATAATCTGGTAAGCAACAAAAGCAAATTATAAAAAAATAATTTTTTTTTTTGAGATTCTTCTGCCTTAGCCTCCTGAGCTAAAAGGTGCCCATAACCACACCTGTATTTTGTATTTTGCTAGAGATAGGGTTTCACCATTTTGGCCAGGCTGGTCCCAGACTCCTGACCTCAGGTCATCCATCTCCTTGGCCTCCCAAAGTGCTGAGATTACATTCGTGAGCCACCATGGCTGGCCTGAGCCACATTTTTATACATGTTTTTGTATATATGAAATAACATCCACACACAGACATGAAATAAGCAGAAAGAAAATTTCTGAAAGGATGCAAACAACCAGTTTTCTCTAGGGATTATGAATATAGTTTTTTTAATTATAGATTTTGGAACACTTTCATCCTTTTATGACAAAAATTTTAATTTTGAAATAATTTTTAAAAGTTGCTTCTAGATTGAAAAATACAAACTGGGTGATGACTCCTTTTCTTTTTTGAAACCTTAAGGATTATTGTAACCTTTAAAAAAGTATTCATAATTGTCAGATGAAATGATGCACTGATTTCAAATGATACTGTACATTTTTTAAAATTTAACTTAAATTCATATTTTTCTTTTAAAAAGCACATTTTGACTTACTCATGGAAGTGTTATGCTCATTTTGTTAAATTCAGATGACTCAATTTGAATATTTTTTATATTCCTTGAAAATAGTGAAGTATTTTATAGCATTCTGTCCATCGGAAGTGTGTTACCCAGTACTTGTACTTACTAGTGTAATAATAGATGTTCCTGCTAAATCCTTAACTTTCAATATTATTTTATATAATATATATATGTATGTATGTTTTTGTTTTTTTTTGGAGACGGAACATATATATATATATATATATGTTTTTGTTTTTTTTTGGAGACGGAGCCTTGCTCTGTCACCCAGGCTGGAGTACAGTGGCGTGAGCTTGGGATCACTGCAACCTCCGCCTCCTGGGTTCAAGCAATTGTCCTGCCTCAGGCTCCCAATTAGCTGAGATTAGAGGCACACACCACCATGCCTGGCTAATTTTTTGTATTTTTAGTAGAGATGGGGTTTCACCATGTTAGCCAGTATGGTCTCGATATCCTGACCTCGTGATCTGCCCTCCTCAGCCTCCCAAAGTTCTGGGATTACAGATGTGAGCTACTGTACCCGGCCTATCTTTTCATATTCTAATTCTTTGCAGATTGGTGTTATGTGTCTGATAAATATTGTAGCTTTCTAGTAATAAAGTAGAACAACCTTTTGGACATCAGCTATCTGCTATATATTAGGAATTAATATTCCTAAGTGCGTGTTCAACTATTATAAATAATTAAGATATTTACAGATTTTTCATGAAAATTACACTTATCAGTTACCAGTGAAACATGTCTCTTATCTCTTTTATTACAGGAATCATGGGTAAAGAAGGAAGACAGGCTGCAAGAAACAGTGACTATGCAATAGCCAGATTTAAATTCCTCTCCAAATTGCTCTTTGTTCATGGTCATTTTTATTATATTAGAATAGCTACCCTTGTACAGTATTTTTTTTATAAGGTGGGTTTCACGTATTTAGTGTCAATTATTGATGAATTATGGAGTGTCAATTTAAGGAATGTCATAACCACATATATTTTTTCTTTAAAATTGTTTCAATAAGTAAACACAATAGTGTTTTGTCATAAATGGGTTCTATACTGACAGAAGCCAAATCAGTGGTTGCCTGGGGCCCAAGGGTTCCTTGTAAATTAGAACACAGTACATTTGATGTCTTTAAAGTTATTTTGTCCTGAACCAGCAATAAGTTTTAACACCAACATAATGGTTTCAAGTAGAGGTTCTTAGCCTTTTTATGCCATGAATGACCCTTTAGTAGTTTAATGAGATGTGTGAGCTCCTCAGTATAGAGCTTTTATATGCATAAAATAAAATATGTAGGATTACAAAGAAACAAATTATATTGAAATTCTGTTCTGTTGTTGGATCCTTTTGTACAAACTGGGAGTCTGCAGAATCCACATTAACGGCCCGTTACCAATATATTTAATAACACCAGAGTGTACTGTGTTGCATATATTTCCATAATTGATAGCTACAATCCAGTGAAAGAACGCAATTGCATATTGCTGTAAGATGATGGCAATTTTTTTCTGACTTATTTTTCTAGCTTTTACTTGTAATATGAGTATATTGAGATGGAAAGAAGTTTTGATGGTTCGAGTTATTGTGTGTTTCAAAGATTGTTGTGTTGTAAAGATACCATAGCCCTAAAGTTTAAGTAAATCTTACTGTACTATATATGAAAAGTATTTAGTAATAGTTTGAAGGTTGTAAATTCAAAATTACTGTATTGCTTGGCAATGAGAGGAGTCAGGTTTTTTCATTCTCATATCTGCACTGTTGCTTAGAATGTTTTTAGACATTTTTTCATAAAATGGGAATCCTGCTTTTCTGTCTTATATGGACAAGTCCCTTATCCTTTACTTACTTTAACAATTGAGATTGTGGACACTTTAATAGCCTTTTTTTTTTCTTTTTTCTTTTGTCTTTTAGGCCTAAATATTTTAATTATTTCCCATTTAATCTTGTTTTTCAGAATGTGTGCTTTATCACACCCCAGTTTTTATATCAGTTCTACTGTTTGTTTTCTCAACAAGTAAGTAAATAGAAACTTGTGTTTTGTATTTTGTCCTTTTAGAGTAAGGTATGTATGTTCGGATTTTCATAGACACTTGAAGGGACTTCTTCATTTTTCTTACTCTTGCAGGGAACCAGACAAAACTTTTCTGTTTAGTATGTTTAACCAGCATAACATTCAGAATATTTATTTTTTCTGGTTTTCTGTGTGAGGTGAGTGGTAATACCAAAATATAATTCTGGATGCTTTTAAAAAATAGATAATAACTCTTAACAGTATATGAGAGAACTGGGATAACTTATTTGTGATATTTCTGTAAAATCCAAATCAAGCCAGGCCTGGTAACTTGGAAGTTCACCTCATTTTTTTTTGACTCGAAATGTCTTAAATTGGAAGGAGCAATAGTGATGTAGTCCAGGGATGACATATAGGTTTAATCTCAGAAGCTACCTTTAAATAATTGATAAGGCACCTAGAGTGCTATATTGAAAAGGACTCTAAGGCTGCAGACTCACAGGGAAAATGTCTTTTGTTAGCAGTAGTTGTAATGGGCACAAGATGGGTCTTTGTTTGCATGCATGCCACATATTTACCAGTCCTGATCTACTCTGTTTTAATTTCTAGAAAAGGGAAATGAAATCCACAGAAATTAAGCAACTTGCCTTGCTAAGTTAATGACTAAACCATGACTTTGACCTACTGCTTCTGACTGCTGTGGCAGGCACCCTTTTCACATACCATACTTACATCTCAAATTGATCAGTGCTAGTTCTAATTTATTGAAAAAACAAGAGCTTAATTATCTTAGGTTTTTCATGAGTTTTTTCCTATTCTTAATTGCTGTTTTATCCTGTTTACAGTCTGTAACTCTAAATTCCACATACTTGCTTAGGCACTGATTACCATTAAAAGTTTTTTACCTGAATGAACTAAAGAATATGCTAAGACAGTACAACAAGGGAAACTGACATATTTTGATTAGATTTTCTGGGGAGTTTATAGTGTAATTTGGGATGTGATATTCATAAAAATAAAAACAATATGTGAAGCATAGGCAAAGTGCTAAGTGATTAGTACCAGCAGTGGTACCTGTGACTGTTTAGAAGAGCAAGATATCATCAAGGACTTGAGCCATCATGCAGCATTTCATGGAAGAAGATAATCTTGTTCAGTGCCTTAAAAGGAAGTGTAGGATGTAGACAGGGAGACAAAGCCATGAAAGATAAACTGTATGTGTCACGTATGGAAGGAGTAAGTTGCCTGTAGTACCTGGAGAAGTATGTGAGATTACTTCACACTGACCAAATTGTGGAGAATTCGAAATGTTAATCTAACTCACTGTAATTCTATAAGCACCTGACATAGCAAAATATTCCAGTTCTCACAAAGAATACCAGCCTAGGAACATTATATATTTATGTCTAGATTAAAAACAAGTTGGAATTATTTAATTGAAATTACTACCGTGGATTTTAGTGTAAATTTTTAAAACTATAATTTTATGTTTTTAATATGCACAGTTGTGATGTATGCATAATGGTAATGCGTAATTTAGAATCTCAACATTCCTACCAATTTTTCTTTCTAGACATTGTATGACAGCGTGTACCTGACTTTATACAATATTTGTTTTACTTCCCTACCTATTCTGATATATAGTCTTTTGGAACAGCATATAGACCCTCATGTATTACAAAATAAGCCCACCCTCTATCGGTAAGTATTTTCTGGTATTAAGTGGCCTTAATTTTTTTTATTGTACTTTAAGTTCTGGGGTGCATGTGCAGAACATTCAGGTTGTTACAAAGGTATACATGTGCCATGGTGGTTTGCTGCATCCATCACCCTGTCATCTACTTTAGGTATTTCTCCTAATGTTCTGCCTCCCCTAGCCTCCCCACCCCGCAACAGGCTCTGGTGTATGATGTTCCCCTCCTAGTGTCCATGTGTTCTCATTGTTCAGCTCCCACTTATAAGTGAGTGAGAACATGTTGTGTTTGGTTTTCTGTTCCTGTTAAATTGCTGAGAATGATGGTTTCCAGCTTTATGCATGTCCCTGCAAAGGACATTAACTCATCCTTTTTTATGGCTGCATAGTATTCCATTGTGTATATATGCCACATTTTCTTTATCCAGTCTATCATTGTTGGGCATTTGGGTTGGTTCCAAATCTGCTATTGTGAACAGAGCTGCAATAAACATACATGTGCATGTGTCTGTAGAATGATTTACAATTCATGGTGGTGTGTGCCTGTAATCCCAGCTACTCAGGAGGCTGAGGCAGAAGAATTGCCTGAACCCAGGAGGCGGAGGTTGCGGTAAGCCGAGATCGCGCCATTGCACTCCAGCCTGGGTAACGAGTGAAACTTCGTCTCTAAATAAATAAATAAAGTAAAAAATATATTTATTTACGTCTTGATGATTAATGCTTTACTAAGGAAAGTTCTTTAGTTGTCATATGATTTGAAGTTGTTGAATATCAAAGAAAAAAGGTTTCTTTCAAAGAGAAAATTTGAATAATGTTTCCAGTGTTTTTTTAGGAATGAGTGCTTTCATTCTGGGAATGCACTGGACAGTTGTGTAACTTGCTCTTACTGTCACAAACCAGTAATATCTATTTCATGTGCACGAAAGAGGTTATTCATAAGTGGTAGTCTCCAGAATTCCTAAAAGTTAGTTTTTCATCTGTTAGCAAAATTTATGAGTAATAATTAGTGTGAAATGCAGAGGTTAGGACATTAATTCCCACCCCAGATCCTCTGCTTCCCCAGAACCAAGTAATCCCAGTGATGTGACTGGGACCCTTCCTCAGGGCCAGCTGTAATCTCTTACACAGGCAGCTATTGAGGTACCACTTACAGAGGCATCTAATTATCTACATTTGGATTAATTTACTTTGATTTCTCAGGTTATCTAGGATAGGGCTTGACCTCAGATTGGCATAGATTGTTCTTCCCATAATAGTTATTGTTAGAAGGGAAGTTAGGAGGATCAGTTCTGAACCTAACTCAGATATCCTCACTAAAAAGAGACCATGATGGCAGAGTGACTGAATGTTAACAGAAGGATATAACAGATAAATCAACTTGTCAAAATGAAAGTGAAGTGTTAATGCCTATATCATATCTCTTATTTTTCATTTCTGAGACAGGGTCTTGTTCTGTCACTCAGACTGGAGTGCAATAGCAAGATCACAGTTCACTTGCAGCCTCAGTCTCCCAGGCTCTTTAAGACTTTCCCATCTTAACCTCTGGAGTAACTGGGATTGCAGGCACATACCACCATGCCTGGCTAATTTTTTTTTTAATTTTTTAGTAGAGACAGGGTTTTGCTCTGTTGCCCAGGTTATTCTCAAACTCTAGTCTCAGGTGATTCTCCTGCCTCGGCCTCCCAAAGTGTTGGGACTACAGGCACCAGCGACCATGCCCAGCCTATCATATTTCTCTATCAAATGAGAAAATATATTTGAATATATTATGTGAACTATAAGCTATTAAATAGATGTATAATATTATAAGCAGTGGTTTGTAAATTTGGATTTATTCTTTGTGCTAATATTTTCAAGCAATTTTAAAATAATTATCTTGTTTTTTAATTATTAAATTATAATAATTGCTTAGTAGGCAAATAATAAATTATTCCTAATATGTTTCTTTTTCTCTTCTTCTTTTTAACAGAGACATTAGTAAAAACCGCCTCTTAAGTATTAAAACATTCCTTTATTGGACCATCCTGGGTTTTAGTCATGCCTTTATTTTCTTTTTTGGATCCTATTTACTAATAGGGAAAGATACCTCTCTACTTGGAAATGGCCAGGTAAAGTATATAATTTTTTAAAGAATGCATGTACTTTTGTCATAAAAAAGTAAAATTTAATTTAAATTATAGAATTTCAAGTATTAAAATGCAATATAAAAAGGTTTAAAAGTTTTTGTTAAAAAGTTTCATACAAATGGAAACAGGCAATGCAGTGTAATCTCCAAATGAAACTCAAGTTACTGGATAATTTTTCTATTCAGAAATGAGCTCATGCAGCGAATATGTTATTGCCCCTGCATACTATTCACTTTGTTATTAGTAGCTGCCATTTATTTGGTACTTACTTTTGTACTAAGTACTTTATACACCTCCTCTCCATTAATCCTCCCAATAATCTTGTTAGAGAGGTATTAATACCCATTTTTCAGATGAGAAATGAGGACTTAGTGTTTATTTGTTTGCTTTTAATTGCATTGCTGTTTACTTAGGAAATGCTACATATTACTCTTCACTGCACACACAATTCTAAGTTGATATCATAACTTCATATTTAATTTGGCCACTTTTGTGAAGTATGAAATTAGGAAATAGTGCGTTTTTAACATTACACTGTTACATTGTGTTCTGATTGGGGTGCTTATGTTGAGAGATGCTTGGCAGAGCTAGACCTCTCTTTCAAGGCTTAGCTAAATGGGTCAGGAAGAAAAGAAATGACAGCAGTGGTAGGGCCTCTGGTGGACTGGAAATGGTCGTCACTTTTAGTTTCCCTTTTCCTTTTCCACCACTTAAGAATTGCAAAATATGTTTGGAGATACAGACAGAAAATTTGCAATTGGAAGAATGTAAAGTTTTATCTACTCAACAGATCTTTATTGAAGACAGCCATTCCCAAGTACTGTACTATACTAGGCTCTGGAAATATGAGAGTGAGTAACTTGGTCATGGAGCTTAGAATCTTATGAAGGAAGCAGAAAATGAGCAAGTAAACTAATAACAAAATGCACCGATGTAATAAAGGAAATGGGTTTCAAACGTAGAGGCCTTAACCACGCCAGATCCCTTTATCTTGTAGAATAGGCAGTAAGTATAATTGCCACTTCACTTTTGAGCACATATTTAGTCTGATATGGATAAAAATGTGAATCTTGCAGCAAAAAGGCTACAGCACTTCCCAAATAATAACTACCTTTTACTGAGTTTTTTCTCTATGCCTGGTACATGTATTAGCTTATTAAATCGTAATAACTCTGAGAAATATATTAATTTTTGCGTATTACCCTCGGAGAGGTTAAGAAACTTGCCTAAGTTCACACAGTAAACAAATGAAAGTAATAGAATTCAAATGCTGATTGATGTAACTTTAAAACCTCCATTCTTAGTGTTGATTCTCGGTTCTTGAGAGAAGCAACCGTGAGCCTGGCGCCCTTCTGCACTGTCTTACCATCAGTGCAAGTGCCACCATATACATAGACATAGGAGTGAGTACGCTCACTCTCACCTGAAATAGTGGGGGGAGAACCAGACAGAATTAAGAGGGGAGGGGAGGAGAGTTCAGAGATAGGAATTTGTATCTTCATTTGGTTTGTTTTTTAACTTAGGGACCCAAACACTAATATCTATTCCATTTCTTCTCAGTTACCAAGTAGCTAACTGCTCTTTAAAATGAGATCCTGCCCGAATAGGAAGTTTCTTTTGTTTTGTTTTACTAAAGTGTACAGGAATTCAGAGGAAAGCATCTATTATTAATAATGTTTCTTTTCTTTATGGAAGTGTACCCAGTTTGAAAAATTAAAATAATTAAAATTTTAAAAATACAGGATTGGTAGAAAAAGTAGAAAGCTATCAGAGTATGTAAATTCCAATTTGGGCTGGGCACAGTAGCTCATTTCTGTAATCCCAGCACTTTGGGAGCCCGAAGCGGAAGGATGACTTGAGCCCAGAAATTCAAGACCAGCTTGGGTAGTATAGCAAGATCCCATCTCTCCAAGAAAAACAAAGATCCAATTTGACTTCTCCAGTAGAGATTTTGGAGCTGGCAGACCCTCAGCACCATTCTAAAAAACATTATACACTGTACCACCTCATTAAAAATTAAATGGAAAAGAAAGGATTGAGCAAGAAAAAGTAATTCTTCACCCCTTCATTAAGCCTTCTAGACCATTAAGCATTTAAACCAGATTAGCTGGGGATAAATAATGAGCATTATTACAAGGTAGACTGAGGAGATGAAATTTCAGGTTGTAATTTTGAGAGAAAGAAAAATAAACCTTTGTGTAATGTTTACTATTGAATTTTTAATGATTTCTCCCCTTATTTCCTATCCTTAATTTTTTTCATACTATACATATCATAACTGTGGAAACTTAACCAAATGGTGAGAGCTCTGTTAAGACAAGAAATACATACCGTATTGTATCTGTATTCCACAAGAGAATGCTATATCCTTTATTTCAATTTGAATGATTTGACTTCTGTAGTTACCAGTCAGGTCACTCATATAACTTAATTCCTATAGGTAGATACCGATTGTTTAATAAAAGGTTATATGGTTACAAAAAAAAAAATCTTTGTTTAGTTCATTATAAAATATCCCTGTATACTCATCTATTCATGAGACAAAAATTTAAGCACTAACAATATTCCAGGATATTTAATGAAACTTAATAGAAAGTTAGATATAGCTATACCTTAGAGGAGAACAGAAAACGATATCTTGCTTCTTACGGTACCATCCAACAGTTGGTCATAGCTTGTAATCAGTGTATAGTAAAGAGAGTTTATACTGACGAACTGAACAACTAATTAACTCTAAGGAAGTTAAATCTTGTATAGAGAGATGTATGGTTAAACCTGATAAAAGACTTTCATCCCTCTTTATTGTTAAACCTCTTCTTGCTTAAGCCAGGACTTTGCTCCTGCAGCTTTCCTCTCTTTCCTTCACCATCAATCTTTCATCCCTGTTGGATCAAGCCAGTCACCATACAAACATGCTCTGAGATCTCCCGTCTTCTAATAAAAAACACACTGCCTTGGCTCACAACCTCTTGTTCCAGCTTGAAGAAGTTATCTTTTCTCATTATATCTACTCCCTGACCTCTCATTCTCCCTTGAAAGTACTCCAGTGGGGCTTTTCACCCTCAGTACTCCTATTAAAATCATGTTCTTTATGGCCACGACCACTTCCACGTTGCTAAATTCAAGAGCATGTCTCAGAACTTACGAACTTGAGCATTGGATGCAATTTATGAAGCCTTCCTTCCTGCCACATTATCTTCTTTCAGCTTCTGTAGCTTACCTTGAGTTCCTAATGTTTTTGACTATTCCTTTCAGTCTTCTCCTCTTCTTACCCTCCAAATCAGGTTTTCTCAACCTCTGCATTACTGTATTTTGAGCTGGATAATTTTTCGTGGTGGGGGCCCATCCTAGCAGTGTCCCTAGCTTCTTCCCACTAGATACTAGTAAAACACGTACATCTACCCACACCCCCCCCCCCAGTTACAGCGACCAAAAGTGTTGCCAGAGTTCACCGTATGTCCTTACAGAGGCAAAATCACCCCCACTTGAGACCCACTGTTCTAAATGGAGCAATGGCCTAGGACTCAATTCCAGATCATCAGTTCTTCATCTGTGCTCTGGGTACACTCATTCTTCTCATCTAAGAAGTGATCCAGAAACCAAGCAGAGTGGAAAAGAAAGTATTTTGAGCATCTTTCTCTTCTGAGCAGGGACAGATCTAGGTTTAGTAGAATCTAAACATTTTCACAGGCCTGCTTTAAGAAAAAAAAAAACCATACAATTATAACTATGAACTTAAGTATATATGCAGATGACTATGAGTGACAAATATGTCTCATTTAACCCAAACCAAATGTAAGCTTATCTTTAGCCAGATCTCCAAAATGCCCTTTACCACTCACTTTATCACCTACCAGCTCAAGGGCAAGTCAGAATGGAAAGAGACAGCAGTCTTAACTGGTTGATTGCAGTTGAAATACATTACTTTGTGTAATTTTACCCACAAAAAGCCATGTGAATGCTTTTGTATAGCTTCTTTTACAGCCTTAAATGGGGCCTATGCAAGAGGAAGCTCTAAATCCTCCTCTAAAGAAAATACCATGTAACATGCCCCCCCCCCAACCCGCCTGTCAATCTAGGCCCAGTAAAACCAGATACTGAAGGGTAGACATATGCCCCTACCACTTCCAGGCCCAGGACCCCTGCTTGCATCAAAGTGTCCCTCCCAGCTGGGCACAGTGGCTCATGCCCATAGTCCTGACACTTTGGGAGGCCAAGGCAGGTGGATCACCTGAGCCCAAGAGTTCAAGGTCAGCCTGGGCAACATGGTGAAAGCCCATCTCTATTAAAAATACCAAAAAATTAGCCAAGTATGGTAGTGTGCACCTCTAGTCCCAGCTAGTTGGGAGGCTGGCTTGAGCCCAGGAGGCAGAGGTTGCAGTGAGCTGAGATCATGCCACTGCACTCCAACCTGGGTGACAGAGCGACACCCTGACTGTGTGTTTGTGTGTGTGTGTGTGTGTGTGTGTGTGTGTCTGTCTCTCTGTCTCTCTCCCTCCCCCTCCCCCTCCCCCCTTCCCTCATTTTGTCTCCCTCTCTCCCTCTGTCTCCCTCCCTCTCTCCCCATATCCCTGAAAGAGAAGAATGGCACTCCTCCTCGGAGAGCTAAGTTGAGACCCACCGATCTTTGATATTTCTGGGTCATTTCTAGAGATGATAAAAGCAGACATCTCTAGAAATGCTAAAATAAGCACAGGTTTAGTATGATTTTCATTCTCCTCTTGACATATACATTCCCCAAATGCCCTCTAATAAAAGAATGTTAATTGATGTTTCATGTTGATAGTCATAACTATTATTTACTGATTGCTTATTGTATACCAGTTACCCTGTTCTTTTTTGTGTATACCAGTTCTTATAGAAAATTGAGGTTTATCCTCATTTTACAAATAAAGAAAGTAAGATAAAGAGAGGTTAAGTAGTTTCTCAAGTAAATGCTAATTGTTAGAAATCTGTAATAAAAAGAAACAGCCTAATAATTTTTTGAACCACTGTTAAGATTATGATTGTTAGGTTTTGAAGGGGCTGAGCGTTACACACAAAGAGGTCGTCTCAACAGCAAATACAGGCTTTTTGTCCAGCATAAAACCTACAGAAGTGGAGAACCAGCTTAATGCCAGAGCCCACCACTGCTACAGGCTGGGGGTGTTTATAGGTATGGCCAGGAGGGGTCTGGGCAGTATGGTTTGCTGCCCAGCAGGATATTGATGAGATGTTCCCATGATGAGGTGGTTCTGGCCCTTGTTCTGGTGGGTTATCTTCGTGGCGTTCCTTGGAACTTTATCCAGCAAGATACAATAGGGATGTTTCTTTAGTTGGACCTTTGTCTGCCTTGTGGTCAGGTGGTTTGGCAGGATGTTTCTCATGGCCTGAACCCCCATGAAATGTTAACACTTTGACCAAGGTCTGCAAAATAGCAGGGAGCTTACAAAATGGTGGTTTGGACTAACAATGATTACTTTGTAAACTAAACTAACAGAAACTCTGGTTGTATTCTTATTTGTAGAGGTAAAATCCTGAAACTCTTGGGATTCTGCATGTTTAATACCTTAATAAGTTTTGGCTATAAAGCCCAGGGGAATAATTTCTCACTGGCAGTATGACAGTAACTGGATTTTTACATGGAATCCTTTGAGGAGTAATTCCATGTCCATTATCCTTCCTTTTAGATACAGGTTTTAGGTGTAAATTTCTTTTTTCCTGCTCTACTCTACTGTATCCAGAAATACTGTGGCATGTGCTCTGCTGAAACTTCTGGTTGGAAAAGTTTCTGAAAGTACTTGTGATTGAACAGGATTTTGTTACCTGTTTTGTATTGTGATAGCAATAAAGCAGTCCCTAATGGCTACGTTATTCTAATTAAAAATAGTCTGTGCTACACCATTCTAAACCCATCTTTGGGTTTCCAGTCTGATGATGATATCCGTAAGATGATTGTGTGTAATAATAACATACGTAAATAATGCTTTATGCTCTTTTTTCTCATACTCTTAACTTTATGTGTAGTCACCAGTTTCAAATGTAGCTACTCCAATAATTCCAAGTGTTTTTTAGTAGAGAATTAAGTGACTTTTTACCTGACGTTTCCTTTAATACTATGTTGGCACATGATGTAATAGTGTGTCCTTTCTGTTTAGATGTTTGGAAATTGGACATTTGGCACCTTAGTCTTCACAGTCATGGTGATTACAGTCACAGTAAAGGTATGGTACTGAAATAAGAATGTGGGCACATCTCGCAAGTGTTTACATAATTAGTTAATTTTCTTCATTTCTTTATCCACAGATACTTTTCCTTTTTCCATTTTCAATAATGAATAATTTCACTGATTACTATTTTAATAATTCACTTAAATTTTTATCAAAAAATTGTTTTTTAAGTTTACTATTTTGAGAAGCCTCAGCTGATTTTTATGAACACAGTTTTAAAAATCTCTAAAATTTTGCTTCTCTGTGTATAATGCAAGATGACATAATTTGTTTTAGGCCATGGAGCTGAAAATAGAGTAATCACATGAAATTTGAATGCTGCTTCCTCACAGAAGAAAAACATTATAAACTTGAAATTATTTTATTTTATACTAGGACTTTTTTTTCATTCATATTTATCTGTGAGGGATTTTGAGGGATTATATCTATCTTCTGAGGAACTTTTAGGTATTTGTAATTGTGTTTATTCTTGAGTTTTATCTGAAAAGTTATGGGAAAGCTTTATTCGTTTATATTTCTAAGGACATAAAAACTTTTTTTTAGATGGCTCTGGAAACTCATTTTTGGACTTGGATCAACCATCTCGTTACCTGGGGATCTATTATATTTTATTTCATATTTTCCTTGTTTTATGGAGGGATTCTCTGGTGAGTGAATATATTGTATTTGAATTGTATTGCTTCAACGATAATTAACATTTATTGTGACAGGTTACATTATGAACATATTCTGTTCATAATAGATTGGAGACTCCTGGTAAGCTTACTTCTTTCAGTTGATCTTACTGATATGGACAGGGAAAAATTAACTTTTTAAAAATATCTACAATTTTGCTAGATTTTTAATATAAGATATTATATTGACTCATCACAATAATTATCCTCCCTTTTTTTTTCTATGTAGAAACTGAACCTCAGGGTCACAAAGACAAAAAAGTAGCAAAGCCAAGATTTAAACCCCAATTGTCTTACATCACAATTTTCTTTACAATTGTTATATTATGTATTTATGTATTAATGTGTACAATAAAATAAGTCACATAGAACCATTCAATATTAATCATTAACTTTTCTCACAAAAGTAACTAGTATGCATCATCTTCTTGGTAGAATCAGATACTCAGTTTGCTACTCTGATAGATTAAAAATTAACTTATCTCCTGAGATTCTTTGGTAAAGTGATGGACAACTGAAGTCTCTCCTTTGGAGAATTTATGTTACATTTGCCTGCTATGCCTTTGATCCATTTATCAGACAAAAACTTAGGAAAGTAGGCCAAAAAAATTTGGATTAGCTAAACGTTAACTTCTATTTATGATCATAAAAGGATGTTCTTATGAATATTTCTATATTTCACCATATTCTTTTGAGGTAGTAGATACAAAAACCCAAAAAGAATACCATTGTAACACCTATTACTTTGTAAAACTAGTATTTATGAGTGCATTAATTTTAAAATATGTTTTTGAAGAAAAGCCTCTGAATAAAGCTTTCATCCTAAGATTTAGATAATCCGTCTTCTAAAATATTTTGTTGCACACTTGTTCTTACTTTGCTTGGTCCCTTAAGTCTGTATTACTGCATTATTCTTCTGATCTGCTACCACTAAGATAAGGTTATCTGGTCAACTGCTTGCTATGTTCGTAATAAAGACTGTAGTTGTTTTATTTTTAACAACTAAAGCCTATCTTGTTTTGTTAGCTGTTCAGTTATTTAAATTATACTGATTTCAATTTTGAACATTTTCTTGGAGTACTTAATTGTTACTTTCAAATATGGCATCTTTACATGATGTCCTGATTTAAGTCTTTTGGTTTCCACTTTTATTAAGCATATTGTCTTTCTTTGCAGGCCATTTTTGGGCTCCCAGAATATGTACTTTGTGTTTATTCAGCTCCTGTCAAGTGGTTCTGCTTGGTTTGCCATAATCCTCATGGTTGTTACATGTCTGTTTCTTGATGTTATAAAGAAGGTATTTGACCGACACCTCTATCCTACAAGTACTGAAAAGGCACAGGTAACTGCTTTTTATATTCAGTATCTTCTTAGTTAGGGATCTTTAATGATGAGTAGCTGTCATTATAATTTGCTTATGTGGAATATAGGAAATTAGCCATTCTTGTTTCAAGTATTGTGTGACATAAACATTGTTCAGTGTGATATTTTTGAAGTTATTTCTTACTATTTCTCTTAATTTGTGACTACTGATAAATTAAAATTTGTTTAAACTTGTTAATAAAAATTTTGTTTTTAGATATGAAACTATCAAGTTATATCCCGATAATAATAGTAAATATTTTTAAAGTACTATCACAGCATTCTATCAGATACATAATTAAGATCTGTAGCCATGTCATTAGAAACATAAGAATTTGAGTAATTTTTTTTCTGATTACATTATTTTCAACAAAAAAGTATGAAATAAGTTCTTTAACCTAAATAATTTTTACAGAATGGAATTTTTAAAAATACATTATATCACTAAACATTGATTAATAAATATTAAACTACAGCAAATATTAGCAGTACATTACATAGTGTTTAAGAATCTTTGGGGCATGATAAACTTCAGTCCAAATCCCAGCTCTACCATTTGGTATCTCTGTGACTTTGAATCTTAGTTTCCTCATTGGTAAACTTAGGATAGAAATATCTTTGTTAACTTTGTAGTGAAGATTAAATGAAATAATTTTCAAATACATAGTAGATGCTCAAGAATAGTATCTGTTTAGTTGAATGTATCTTTTTTATATATTTGACTAGTACATGAGCTAGAAATCTCTCACTTTGTCCTTTTAACTATAGCATAGTATTGGATAAATACTCTCAAAAATATATTCTAGTCAACTCTTATGCCCTGATAAACACTGAGTTTATTATTTAGTTCTTCTCAGGTTGAGATTTTTTAAACATGCTGTAACATGCCAAGTGAATTTTGTTTCAACTTTGGAAATTCAGTTGTATATTCATCCTACACATAGAAAAACTACTTCCTAAACATTTAGTGATGTGAGTTAGGCTTCCTGAGCAGTGCCTTAGTTTTCATTTCAGTTGGTCCTGTCCACAAGCGCTTCTTTAGCATTTATTTGCTTTGACAGCTGAATCCTAGCCAATATACACGGTCACACCATTAAGACAGGATAGGCCTGTGACGCCTGACAAAGTTGAATTCAGATATTGTTTAAACAGTTCATTATGTATGTCCTTGATCAAGTCGCTTCACTAAGCCTCAGTTTCCTTCTCTATAAAATCAGAAAAATAATTACCACTTCACATGGTTGTTAGAGAAAATGAGTGTGAAGTACCTCACACTGAGCCTGAGTATAATTGGTCCTCACTGAAACAGGTATCATTATAAGTAAAATGAAGATGTGAATGTTGCTCTGTCATACTGATCTCCAAATGGGGCTAAAAAAATGTGCGTAATCTGATTACTCTATCTGTTCATGCATATGTATTTATATCAGTGTGAACAGACTTTTCCACTCTCCAATATTTTACTTCAATATATATCAGAAAGTTTGCCTATTTTACTATTCCGGATCTTCTGGAAAAAAATTATAATAAAAGAGTACTATTTTTAATACTTTGTCCATTATGCTTATTTTCTAGATCTTTACAGAGAATAATTTTTCTCCCCTTTTTGGCCTAAATACAGTTAGATTTTACCAAAATACGTGAATGGCATTGTTTTAAAGACTTACTTCTTGAGGCCAGGTGCAGTGGCTCACGCCTGTAATCCCAGCACTTTGGAAGGCTGAGGCGGGCAGATCGCTTGAGCTCAGGGATTTGTGACCAGTCTGGCCAACATGCTTAAACCCTGTCTCTACTAAAAAAATTTTTAAATAGAAAAATTAGCTGAGTATGGTGGCCGACACCTGTAATCCCAGCTACTCAGGAGGCTACGGCATGAGAATCGCTTGAATCTGGGAGGCAGACGTTGCAGTGAACCAATATTGCGCCACTGCACTCCAGCCTGGGCAATTTGTAAGTCTCAAAAAAAAAAAAAAGAGACTTAATTTTTTATTAAAGTAAATACAGGTTAAGTATCCTTTCTCCAGAATGCTTTTTTCAGATTGTTTAAGATTTTGGAATATTTGCATTATACTTACTGATTCAGCATCCTTAATTCAAAATCTGACATGCTTTAATGAGCATTTTCTTTGAGCATCATGTCAGCAGCACTCAAAGTTTCAGAGTTTGGATTTTCAGATTGGGGATACTCACCTGTAATCAGGATAAATGTATTTATCCTTAGAAATTCTACTTTAGGCAGAGCGTTTGCAAACTTACATGTTTTCATAGAGATTTCTTAATAATATAAAAGGTGATAATATTAGTTATTGTTACCTTTCCTATAACCTCTTTTTAAAGGAATACATAGGAAATACTTAGGCCCCTAGACAAGTTAAAAGTGCTTATGTATTTTTTGTTCTTTTCACTATAAGCTAAAAATTGATTTAGTCAATTTGATTAAAAATTGAATGTACAGTGAACCAGTCATTTTATCTATGTGTAAAAGCTAGTATAATCTTCCTTCTTGACTCACTAAATTTACTTCTAAATGACTTAACTGGATGTTCTAGGTGGTCTAATCCAATCTAATCCAAGAAGGAAATCTCTACTTCTACTCAGGGATCTTCCAGCCTGCTGGGGTTGGTGTGTTTTTCCTGGTTTTTTTCTTTTTTTTGCTGAAATAATATATGGTCATTGAAATCCTATATGCAACATTATTCCTTTGCTGTGGGCAGTAATTATTATTTTTAGCTTTGTATCATTTCTGATTTCAAATGATGGAGAAATGGCTAGAAAGTTGTCAGCTACTTCATTGTTTACCAAAAGTAGCAAGAAAACTTGTATCAAAGGAAGAGCTGTCAGCATTTATTCCGAGCCTTGTTTTTCTCCAGAATAACAATGTGGTGTTAAGAGTGAAGAATAAATTTCTTTGATGGCACAGCCAGTGGCCCTACAATGTTAGTCATGTATGTGTATCACATACGATATTTTTTCCTTGTGTGGGAGCAGATGTATTTACAGAGCTTGTCCTGTGTCTGTCTCTTAGATAATGAATACAGCTCACTGACTTGTTGTGTGTCCATCCCTTTTCTGTCCACTTATAGATGTACTCCAACACAGTTGCTTTAAGTGACGAGTTCATCGCACTGCAGCCATTGTCGAGGGCAAGGAATCAGCTGAGCAGACTTAGGTAGAGTAGGAGGAGTAGAACCTCATTAACTCTTCTGCATGCTTAAAGGTCAATTAAACAATACCAAAAGATGGGCAGAGGCATGAATAAAGAGTGGGGCATTTTTGTTAGCATAGTTCTGTCTCTTGCTAATTTGACCTTTATTAACATGTATGTTAAAACCTAAAAAAAAAAAATCTATTTCTTCTTTGAGAAGAAAATTCAGATAAAAATTCAGCATAACAGAACAGAGATCTATACCTTGTTATATATTTTTACATCTTAACTACCTTTTCTAGTACAATTCTAATGCTTCTGCTTGTCATGTTATTCATATTTATGAATGCTCCTGCATGTTGAGTAATTAAAGCTACATATTTAGAAGTAAGAGTGCCCATTTTTTATCTTGCCTTAATCTGTAATGTAAATAGATGTGCATATTTGTGTTCATATACTGTAATGGCTGCTAAAGCATCTCATATCCTGGCTACTATTTAGTGCATCTATAAATTGAACAATATGTGTGTGTGTCTTTATCTCCACAGACAGATTCATTCTGTCAGTTTGTAAAAAAAATCATAGTATAGAGATGTCTTTTGATAGAAAGGGATGAAAGCTTAAATTTTAGAACTTTTTATATTAAGATACTAAAACTATGTATTAAGTGTGGTTTAAAGGGGAAAAGTAACATAACTTATTTTTCTTTTTAGAAATTGACACTTTTCCATTTCTTGCCCTGTTGATTTCTTACAGATTCTTAATCATGTACTTTCTAAAAATTCTTTTTTATTCTCACGGTTTCTAATCTTTCTGTGTTCATTTGAATTTTAAATTCTTATTTATTCTCAAGGTGTCTAATCTTTGTGTTCATTTGATCAAATGGATGGGTTTTACAAAGCACCGCTTAACCTTCTATAAAACTCTGAGTTCATAACATTGAGCTGTGTAAAGATTTACTGAACCTTTCAAGTTTTTTATTATTAGCTTCAAGTTGAGAAAAAGTTGTACTTCGAGTTACAGTGGTGTAATAATTTTAGATGAGAGTCCAAATGGGTGTTTAAGTGGTAGGCAACTAAACTTTATATTTAAAACAAGAACTGAAGTAAAACAACGATTGACCTTCACTTTTGGCAGACCCAAATATATGTATCACAGTTTTATCTGTAGGTGACTTTAAAAGCAGTAGCTTTCTATCACATTTTTGAACATCTAATTATTTAACTCTAAAGCAAAAGGAGAGCTCATTATTTAAAAGCACACTCTAGCCCACTCTTTTGTCATATAAAGATAACTTTTGTATTTTGAATAATTAGGAAGTCATATTTTCACATTTCATATTAGCTTAAACCACATTTTTTGAGCAAAGCTAGACTTAATGGAGAAAGGAGATCATAAAGATCACAGCTTCTGTAATACTCTAATAAAACAGTAAGCTGAACATTCATGTGCAAAAGACCACAGTGAGAGCAGGATGTTGGTGAGTTGATCCTCCTGCAAGCCACTGTCCAGTCAGGTGTGGAACGAGTGGAAACGAACACTGTTCAGAGAGCGGCAGATCTGAATGCTGGTGCTGCAGTTGCTGCTACTCCCAGTGGGCCCTAACCAAGTCACTTCAGCCTCCAGGTTCTTCACCTGTCAGATGGTCATTTTATATACTGTGGTCTGTTTATTTACCATCAGCATTAAAGACAACACAAAGAAGAAATACTGTGCTCAGCTGAAAGACAGGCACAGAAAATAGTTACTCAAATTGAGCAGCGAGTGACCACTAGGTGGGCATTTGTTCATAGCTGTATAGAGTACAGGTGCTCATATACCTCTTTCTGCTGATGCGGCCTTGGAATTTTGAATGCATCAATTTTTTTTTTTTTTTGAGACGGAGTTTCGCTCTTGTTACCCAGGCTGGAGTGCAATGGTGTGATCTCGGCTCACCGCAACCTCTGCCTCCTGGGTTCAGGCAGTTCTCCTGCCTCAGCCTCCTGAGTAGCTGGGATTACAGGCACACGCCACCATGCCCAGCTAATTTTTTGTATTTTTAGTAGAGATGGGGTTTCACCATGTTGACCAGGATGATCTGATCTGTTGACCTCGTGATCCACCCGCCTCAGCCTCCCAAAGTGCTGGGATTACAGGCGTGAGCCACCGCGCCCAGCCCAAATGCATCAATTTTTTTTAACTGCATTGAGCAATATCCCATGGGTATGATCCATAATAGCGTAACTACTCGTGACAGCGAGGAAAACTGTATGGATATCAGATATCTTTAAAAGCTTTCAAATCTTGACAAGTTACTATTTCTTAGGAACAATTAAGGCCAGGCGCAGTGGCTCACGCCTATAATCCCAGCACTTTGGAAGGCCATGGTAGGTGGATCACTTAAGGTGAAGAGTTTCGAGGCCATCCTGGCCAACATGATGAAACCCCATCTCTAGTAAAAATACAAAAATTAGCTAGGCATGGTGGCCGGCACCTGTAATCCCAGCTACTTAAGAGGTCGGGACAAGAGAATCGCTTGAAGCCAGGAGATAGAGGTTGCAGTGAGCCAAGATCATGCCACTGCACTCTATCCTGGATAACAGAGCAGGACTTCTTCTTAAAAAAAAAAGATTAATACAAAACTATTAACAATTTTCTTTTGAATAAAACAAAGCTCATTTTGAGTATTTTCCCTTCCCCTCTTCCCTTGTATTATAGGCAGAGCTATTAAGATATCTTCACATAGACTTACTATACTCTTGAAACCAAGGAATTCTGCTTATTTTTTGTTTGTGTCAGAAATTCATCACAGCATCTTTCATAGAAATATTTATTGGTCAGTCTTGGGAAAATATGTAGAGATGAGGCAAAATTGATTTTTATTCATTAAGGATATTTTCTTGTAATTTAATAAGATTTAAAATAAGGATGTCTGTGGACACATATTAAATTGCCTCCAAAAGTCTCTAATGCAAATACAGAAAAAGAACTGAAATTTATATAAATTATTAACCCTCATTAAAAATCTATTTAATTGAGGATTAAATTTCTTTTGTTAACAGATAGATCAGGTAAGCCCTTTACACACATGTTCAATATTTCTGAGGTCATGAAGTCCAGTTAGAGTAGAGAAGTCTTCTGAGAAGGGAAGTAGGAAAGGTGAAAAATTGGACATGCCTTTGCAATAAGTACCCTGAATCTTGGTGGCAAACGAATTTAATAGAAGAACTGAATTGTATTCAAAGAAACTTAGCTGTAATATATGTTTAGTTAGAGCTTTGTGCACTAGAGAATCGTGGCTTTATTTTGTTTGCTTGTGTTTACCTTAAGACGTTTCTGTTAGCCCTCTTTTGTGACAGTAACTGTGCTGTTGTTTGAACATTCTTTTGTGCCTCAGATTGTGGATGCCAGCTTGTTGCTTTGATTTTAAACCTGTATATGGTGAAGAGTATCATTCTGTAATATGAGACTTGTTGCTTTTTTGTCCTTCCAGATGGAAGAAGATCAGGGTTCAGTCAGCTCAGCATATGAATTTGCTGAAAGCCAGCACAGAGGGGAGGACAGTAGGCACCTGCTAGCTGAGGCTTGCAGCCAGCAGGACGGGTGTTGCGTGCACTAGGTAGTACCGCGCCGGACCTTCCCGGGACTCAGCCGCTAAGTTCTCATGCTTGGGGGGCATGTTGTGGGACACCTGACCTGACATTTCCATTTCTTTACTAATTTCTTCACTGTCCCTCATATGTTGTTGTGGTTTTGTTGTTTTCCTTTTTTGTGGTCTTTACATTTTTTGTATGTCCATCCCTGAAAATTTTATCAATCACTCTTTAGAGTTTCAAAGATAAATCAGACTTCACCTTACAATGTAACCTCTAAAGATACTCTCACAACCTGTTGTCTTACATTCAAGAAAATACTCCTTTTCACTTCTTTTTTTGAAAATATCATGCTATTTCTATTATCTCTGAAATCATTTTCCCCTTGAAATTGTAGTTGTGTATCATTTACCCATCTTAATGTAGTTACATACTGAGTTACTTATCTAAGCTCACCTCTTAAGTTGAATGATCAAAGAGTAGGGTGCTTAGACTTAGTACTGAGAAATTCGCTACTGACAGATACTCAACAAACTTTCCATTCTTTTCATAATTTTTTCCTTTTTTCCTTTGAGACAGGGTCTCATTCCATCGCCCAGACTGGAGTGCAGTGGCACGATCATGGCTCACTGCATCCTTGATCTCCTCGGCTCAAGTGGTCCTCCCACCCCAGACCCCTCTCCCCCAGTAACTGGGACTACAGGTGCGTCCCACCATGACCAGCTAGTTTTTTGTGTTTTTTGTGGAGATTGGGTCTCGCCATGTTGCCCACACTGGTCTCAAACTCCTGGGCTCAAGCAATCCACCTGCCTCGGCCTCCCAAAGTGCTGGGATATAGGCATGAGCCACCACACCTGGTTCATAAATTTTCATAGTTGTACCTTTCTAATAAAAAATAATAAGAATTGATGAGAGCTTGATTTTCTCTTTTGAGGAATAAACCCTAACCACCATTTCTAGAACTAACTGGGATATGCAGAATATTTTGATTGGTAGTAATTATGGAGGATAAAATTTCCTGCCAATAATAGTTATATTATTTAGACTAATTGCCATTTTATTTATTGTAATTACTAGTCAAAAAAGTGCTATTGTCTTATATGGGATAAGCAGTGGTGAAACTAAGTCACTTGAAGATTGTAAATGTTTTAACAACACTATAAATCAGACCCTGGAACAGGTAGAATAATGTAAAGAATCTGAACTATTCTATAAGATACGGTTTTTAAATTAGATTACTTTAGCGGATTGCCCTAAATGAAAAATTAATCAGCCCTGTTATTATTATCAGTTGAAATGATATTCAGAAGAATTCTGAATTTTTGTTTGTTTTGGTATGCTTCATATGATTATATTTACAGTATAATTCTCTTGTGCCTTGCTGTAGAAAGGTGTTTAGTTTTTTTTAATATGCTCTGATCAAGCTCCAAAGAAAGCTCATGTGAAGAGCTT